GTGTGTGTGTGTGTGTGTGTGTGTGTGTGTGTGTGTGTGTGTGTGAGGTGACAGTCATTGATGTCTCTTTGTGATGAACTTGCACACATGTCTGACACTAACATCTGATTCGTTGCCCCATTGTAATGTCCCTTTTAAATGACAGCATGATGTTTCCAGTAATTTCCAAACTATGTCTTTCCCTCACTGTCTGTGAACTCCAAATTCTTTCTTCCACCTTGTCTGTGTTTATCGATTAAGAAATCTGTTGTTCAGCACGGTGGCGGGTTTTCTACACGACCAACACAAATGAAAACACGTTACTGCTCATACTGTACAGCAATAGCACTTACCACTTTGTTACATCACACTTACTGGATGTGGGGAAACCTTCATGTTTTGGCTTGAGTTGCCCCGTTTTCTAATGTGTCTTTAATTAAAACGATCGCTAAGAGTTTCTGTTCCACCGAAGCGTTTCACCCTCACGTTTGACCTCTCCTGCTTTTTTCTGGCCCAACTCATCAGGATGTGTAACTACTAATAATGTAATAACTGTTGGATAATATTGTAGCTTGTAAAAGTGTAATTAAATGTTTGGAGTAACAACAAAGTAACATCTCATTATGACTAACTGCTAAGTTTTAATTCAAAAAGGTTAATGTGTTATCTCATATAATAGCTGACCGCTAACCTGGAGAGGTATGAAGAAGGTAAACGGTTCTATCATAATAATAAATGGCAGTTTTAAGCATTATGTTATGTAGGATTTTATATTACACCCTTTAAAAGACTTATTTCACAGATATTGACATCCCCTTCCTTTATGTGACTTTTGTTACATCATCATTTATTACAATCTACCTGATGAACTTAAACCGACAGCATACAGTTATGTTTTCATCTTTTCACAGCGTCTCATCTCACTAAGGCAAAAGTCGTGGATCTGAATCGCATCGCTTTTGATTTACTCTGAACTTAATCTTAACGAGCCTTTGAATGAGATCAGTTATCGTTGCCTTATTTTCTAGCTGTTCATATCCTGTTATCGAGTCCGCTGCCAACACGACTTCTCGGTTTTTCGATGTAACGCAGTCGACCACACGGCGCACAGTGCACGACCTCAGCGTCATCCCTCCTTAAATCAAATGTGGAAAAGCAATGATGAAAACATGTCTCCGAGAGACAAATTGTAAGATGAATGTACATACTGTCCTCGTGTATCACTCCTCCAATGTTTAACACAGCGGGGCGCCTGTTACCTGAGCTGCTTCACTTCAGAGATATATACCCAATGAAACTGTCTGTGCTTTTTTCAGTTCACATTTTTCCTCCAACGTATGTTACGGGATGTTTGTGTGGCATTTGTACTTGTTTTTGTTGGATTTCATAAACTGTAAAAAAGAGAAAATTCAGAAATTTTAAGGTGTAAATCACAAAGGTAAGATTAAAACGATAAAAGATCGCATCATTATTGTGTGTGGAGTTTTTTTTTTATGTATTCTGTACAGATGTAGGTTACAGTACTGTGCAAAAGTCTTGAACCACCTCTTATTTCTTTGTAAAAATAAATGAGAAACAGCAGCACCGGGTTAAATGCAGACCATATCTGGTGAGGCTTCAGTGAAGCGTAGCTGGATCGACTTACAGATCAGATGATTCTCTCAGTTCCTGTTTCAGGTCTTTGCTTATTTTATTTTTTTCTGTTTCTTAAGGACAGATACTGTTCATCTGCTACAGTTTTTATTAGACCTGCCACTTCTTTTGCCCTCCGCTTGTCCTGTTTCCTCAGATTTTTTTTTTTTTTTAAGATCTCTTTGGAAGATCTTCAGAAAACCTGGAGAACTGTTGCTGAAGGCCACTTTAAAAAATGACAAGAAAGTCTGGGTCCCTGGATGAATTTCAAATAAATGAGGTGTACTATCAACACTCATCATACTAAAATGTGATCAAATTCTATTTTGTGCCTTATTTTCATTATTTAAAAAGAAGCTGTGGCAAAATCAACTGATGATCTCTGACTTTTCAAAGTTTTAGATTTGAGTCTGTTTATTCCACCTGCTGGAGGATATCTGAAGATGTTAATTAACATAAGTTGGCATTTGTGGTTTTGTTAGCGCGGGTCAGTTCATTCTGCTGCTGACATTATAAACAAGTCCACAGTTGATTACACCAATTAAACCTGACAGCCAGATAAAAGGTCTGTAAAGAGCTGCAACAAACAGTGACATGAAACCTAAAATGCAGTCAGGAGATCCAATAAGAAGTATCCAGAATCACTGGCAAATATGACAAGTAAATTGTGTAGTTAATCCTTTTTGTATTCACTAATAAAAACAGGACTCTGTTTAATTAGATGCAAATGTATTTGAGATTAATGTTACATTTTGAGATTGGCTCAGAGGCTTCTGGAAGCTGCACTTTGACCAAACACGTTAGACAGAATTTGCCCATCTGCTACGGCTATCAAACTTTAGCTGTGATGTCACTGGTATGAGGCCAGCAGTGACCAGCCAGCCAGGAGGCAACACAATCTTCCCCGTTGTGCCAAACATGGACTTCCTTGCTGCTGGTGTGTATGATGATCCGGGGCAGGTGTGATGTGACTCCACTGACTGTGCTTTGGTAACCAGAGAACTGCATGCTGCCCCACTCAGCTGCACCGTCAGTTCACATATAAATAGCTTTACTGAAAGCTACGCAAGGCCAGAAGGAATCTGGACACAACAGAGGGGAGGGATTACTCGTTCTTCATAAGACAGCAGACACACTGAGTGCACTCAGCGTAGTTTACACAGTTGCACAAAGAGAGAAAGCTCCACAGACACGGACTGCATTCTTAGGACATGGGTATTCACGGATCCAAGCATCAGAAACAAGCACAAGTCCTGATGCTGGGCCTGGATGGATCAGGAAAGACCACGCTCCTTTACAAGCTGAAGTACAACGAGAGTGTGGTGACAGTGCCCACTGTGGGTTTCAATGTGGAGACACTGGAGACGGACAGGAGCAGCCCGGCACTGATTGTGTGGGACGTCGGGGGCCAGAAAAAGATGAGGCCCCACTGGAGGCATCACTATACCGACACAGCTGGAGTGGTGTTTGTGGTGGATAGCAGGGACCTGAAACGGTTGGACGAGGCCCGCAAGGAACTCCATCGGGTAAATAAACCAACGAATATTTTATTGTTGAGCATGCACCTTCACTGTGCAGGCTTTGATGCTACAAATCTGTTTCCAAAACTGCCTTCGAAAGGGGAAATGTTGAAAGCATGTAGGGTATTTATGAGCAGGGATTTGTGGCACTGCAACTAGTTTCGAATCTAGCAACTCAAGAAACTTCAAGGCACTGTATTTAAACTTCTGATGAGGTCATTTGAAGGCATTGTTTTTGTGGACAAAACAATAAAACATGCAAATTAATCTTACAGGTGCTTTATTTTGTGTTCCTGTTTATATCTTTAATAAATTATCTATCACGCATTATAATGTAGTTGTAGGAGGGTGGTTTTTAATGTGTTCATATGTTAAAGGTATTAAGAGGTCATTAGGATTATCAGTTTAAAGTCTTCACAAAAAACCTTCTAATTGTTGATAAATGCATAATAAACGCCAAGATATTCTTCTATTTTTAATTTTAACGTGTTGTAAACCATATAGTTATAGTAAACCTGGAAGCAAGCACAAAATTCAGGCTTTTCTAAAAAGTTTGTAGTGCCGGCCCTCACTGTGTTCTCTGCTTACCAGATTCTGAGGTACGAGAGTCTCAGGGAGGTTCCTCTCTTGGTCCTCGCCAACAAACAGGACCTACCCGGAGCTCTGAGCCCAGAGGAGCTTTGCCTGAAACTTCATTTGAGAAAAGTGTGCGAAGGCAGGGCCTGGTACATCCAGCCGTGCTCGGCCACAACTGGGATGGGACTCGAGGAAGGTTTCAGGAGGATAGTGTATCTCATGAAGACCCCACTGAAACGGACTCAAGAGGACATTAAGGTGAAGATGAGGTCTAAAGGCTTCAGTGTCACGGCTATGAAACAATCCTTGCTCTGCGGCAGCTGATGGATGAAGACTTTCTTTAGTTTTATTCATGCACCATGCAGGATTTCCCCCTGCCTGCCTCTGCAACACATCACTGAACGGCCTGATTCACAGTCAGAGTGCAATAGTCAGAGATAAGAATGTGTATCACAATGAGGGCAGAGTGTCCTCAGACTGTGACTGCAGACCACTAGTATTCTGTGAAAAATCTTGGATTAGCAGATTATGGGAAAACAGTCTCAAGATGTCGTAGGCAAATATTTAGCCTGATAATACGTAAAAAAGCTGATAGCGGTTGGTGGTTGTGCAAATTTTCTCGCCTCAGCTGTGCACTTAACTTGCTTATCTTTTAATCTGTTATTTGTGTTATTGTTATTGTCACAATATTACAATATTCAGAGTTAGTGGTAGATTATCTTCAGGGACACAAATGTGAATACAAATCATATCTACTGTATATCTAAGGTTTGAATTGTGTATTTTCATTTGTCCTGTATTTTTTTTCTAATTAAATAAAAGTATTTGAATCAGGCAGGTTTGTGGAAAAGTGGAACTGCAGTACTGCAAAATGAGCATGTTAGCGTAGCCAATGACAGCAGGAATAGCCTCCTTGGTTTTGCCTTTCAGGATGTGTTCACAACAAGTTTTTTTGTTAATTGTAATTTGTTCAAACTTGTTGCATTCAGGGAATGTAAAAATAATTGAAATGATTGAAATGAAATCCTCCAAAGCTTCCTCCTCCTAGTTTACACGTCAAAGGCAAACAGATGCTCCATGTTACCTCATGGACTAATCCTCGCCCTCCCTCTCTCGGTTGCTCATAGAGCCTCAGGGTGCTGGACTTTGGGTGGAGATCTCTGTGAGTTTTTATGTCTTGACATCAGTGACATCTCTGTCCTGGGTCAGAGCTGGGTGTTGAAGGACTGATAGCTTGGATCTTATTCCTACCGTTGAGCTGGCTTTTCAGTGCTTGTCTTAACTTCTGGAGTTATTCCTGATCTTTATCATGGCTCCAGTCGGCCTGTGGGCCTGATTTGACCACACTTATCCAGACCAAGTGACAGTATTTAACCCTCTAAAGCCTCTTCTATAATATTTGATTCATGTTTTTTGGGAGTTTTTGAGGATTCTTCAACATCAGTATGACATTTCCCCCCTGAAAAGGTCAAATAAATTGCACAACACATTTTTAAGCAAGAAAAAAAAAAACCCAAACCAAACAAAATAAACAAAAAAACAACATTTAAAAAATTACAAATTAAAAGACATATATACAAAATAATATTAAAATTTAGACTTTTTTTAGTTGTCAGAAGTTTCAATAAACGTTTCATTTTCAAAAACAATCTCAATTTTCTGGCAATTATTTTGTGGTTTTGTGGCTTTGAATGATAAAGTCCAGACTTTATTCAGTTTGAGGTGCTTGTGCGTGACCCTAAACACGCCATTTATAGTCAAAGTGGTCAAATGTGGTTGAATTAAAACAATTCTGCAAAGAAGTGGGGGCCAAAATTCCTCCACAGTGATGTGAAACACTCACTGCCAGTTATCACAAACACTTGAGTGCAGTTCTTGGTGCCAAAGGTGGCATTCCTCAATAAAAGAAATCATCATTTTAAAACTGCATTTTGTATTTACTCAGGTTATGTTTAACTAATATTAAAATTGTTTGATGATCTGAAACATGGGTATTACTTTACAGCAAGAAGGTCGTGGGTTTGAATCCTGCCTATGGCTTCCACCCACAGTCCAAAGCCATGCATGTAGGGTTGGTGATTTTAAACTCACTGTAGGTGTTAATGTGAGTGTTTCTCTGTCCAGTGTGCACCCTGCCTCTCATAACCCTGAATTCATGACCCTATACCAGTTAAGCAGAAGAAAATGGACGATCTGAAACATGTAAGTGTGCCAAATACTTTTTCACAGTACAGACAGGAGAAACTCCCCTTTAACTTTAAGATTAATGTAAGATTAACTACATATTTAATCCCCTGAGACCTTAATTATAAGAAAAGCAACTACAATTTCAGTAACACGTCTCAGGTTTTCTACATAACAAAGAAGTGCTGCTGTAGTAACAAAAAAATCTGTCAGCACGACACTTTGGGTTTAAATTGTAACAAATTAATGTGTAAAATTATGAGAAAAGTTCTGGTATCTCGTTTCCAGAGTATTTTGTAATCAAAAAATTACGTCTTTGTAAATGTGTATCCATCCATTCATTCATCAACATTTCTTTAATACATATAGTAAAAAAAGCTGATCTATTACTCAGTTACTTTGGCATAGTATAAGTGACCTCGAGGAGGTCTTCAATAGTAGAAAAAGCTGTAAAAGTTATGAAAATTACGTTAAAAGTGAAAAATGTTTGCCCTCCTTCACAATTTTTAAAGCCCTCCAGTGGCTGGATTTGGACTCTTTATCGGACCTAAGTTTTACTATTCAATATACATTATTATTTAGTGTTTATTTTTAAATAGGGTATTTGTCAGTGACATATTTTAACATAAACGTCTTAGGGCCTTTTTATATGTTTATTTCAATTTATTTAATTTCGTTTGAGACAACAAAATTTGTTTTTATTCATTTATTTTAACAACTAAAAACACGTCTTTTTAGAATTGCATTTTGTTAACCTTTGTCTGTTTTTGTTTTATACCTTGTGAAGCACTTTGTGATTTTTTTTTTATCTAGAAATGTGCTATATAAATAAAATTATACTTACTTACTTACTATTTTTATCAGTTGGCGCTAACACTGTGTGCAGTTCGTACCTCTGACGGTGCATATATATACATATAAATTAGATATAATGATTAAGTAACTTGTAGTGAGCCCTCCACCAATGAGCGTGTCGGGGAATTCCCCACCCTTCCGCTACGCCAGATCGAGGCTGCCCTCCACCACCGGCATTCCCAGTATGCACCGCGGACTGAGCTGCGAAAAATAGTCCGCTAACGAAAGGCTGAGAAAAGGGAACCAGAAAAGGGGTAGCTCACAGCTAAATCCACGAGTTCATCTGTATTTAACGTAACCAGAAGCGATAACATGGCTGACAACGAGAAACTGGACAACCAGCGGCTGAAGAATTTCAAGAATAAAGGCCGTGATTTGGAGGTAAAAGTTGTGCCGATTGGTGTCGAGGATCTCTCTTTTCCACAGCGTCCGCCGCTCTGTTTGCCTCCAGCTCCGCTGCTCCGCTTCCCTGTGACGTCGTTTCTAATTTCTACCGATGGGAACTTTGTACCCAGAGCCCCGGCCAGGGTCTTTACATAAAGCTTATTTTAAATATTTGGCCGGGGCCGGACGACTCCCTGTCGGGTCTCACTGGTTTCGTTAACCCATGGGCCGCTTTGGCTATAAAACGCGTCAGAAACGCTAGCCTGAGTTCATCTGCTAGCCCGCTGCTAGCCAGGCCCACGGGGTACATGCTAGTTCAACTGAAAACTATCACCCCACAGATAGATTTAGCTCGGCGTGTTAGTCACCGTCTCGTCGAAAAGTTCACACACATGGCTTTCGAGCTGTTCTTTAGAACTATATAATTTATAGCTAAGACAACATGGCGGCATTTTATCGTTATTTTGATACTGCAATTAGCTAGCCTATGCTAGCTTGGTGATTGGGGTTTGATGGTGGTACTGCTGGCTGCAGTTCCACCCATCCCCCGTCTTTATAATCAAAAACAATGGCGGAAACCAGTTAGCTTCTTTACTGGCCGGTCGCCTGAGTGTTTTAATCAAAGCTTGGAGTTGATTTTCTGTTTGTTTGCATTCTTGTATTTCGTTAATGCTAACGTTACACGTTCCGTGAAAACAGCGCGCATAGCTAAGATAACATGATTACATGAGCCGCAGATCAAAGCTACACGTTAGCTAACGTCGGATCGATAAGTTACCAGGGGAGTTGGAGTCGGGTCAGAGTGTCAGTAATGTTACCCGGCTGATATTGTTTTCAGGCGGGCTTAGTTAAGATGTATAATCAGGATATACTCATACATCCTGTTTGACAAGTCTGTGGCGCGGTAGGCCTCCGGACACGAGCTTCTCGCTTCACAACCTGCTGAAAACTTCAGTTACAAAAGCACGGTGCAGGTTTGTTATTGAAGAACACACGATTTCGCGAGCAGCAACCACAACTTATTTTCTCTTCCGCGTAGGACGGCTACTGTCGTTAGATTCAACAATCCTACATTAAAATGTCTCTTTATGAAGATTATATTTTAAATAAAACCCGTCCAGCTCTTAGTCATTACTTTACTATGAAGAAATATTTAAACTGCTCTCCCAAGTCTTGGCCATCAGAGGACAGAAAATAAACATTATAACCAATGTACTATTCAACAAAACGTTCCTCTTTTAGCTTTTCTCCATAAACAGTGAGTAAGACTACCGTGCATTTCTTACAAATTATGCAGGCCATGAATATTAATACAGTAGTGCAGATTTGATCATAAAGCAGTACAACACAGCATCACAAATATTAATTACCTTTTGCAGAACTGCAGTGTCTTCATATGATGATAAAATGTTGGTTAAGTGTACCTCATCGTGTTTGTTCCTTAAAGGGAAGATCATTAATAAAATATTGTCTTTGTCAAAGAATAGAAGAATTATCTGTGTTGTTAGGGTCTTAAAGCTAAGTAATATTAGGTCAGTCACTCATTTGTAGTTTGTATGATTTGAATTGATAGAAGACAGTATAGGCTAATTAAAGCTCTCCTTCTGTATAATCTTCCCGTGCCATCTTTCCTCACAGACTATGAGAAGACAGAGGACTGAAGTAGTGGTGGAACTCAGAAAGGTAATCACATTTGTATTTTTTAAATATATTTTCCACCAATTTCAAACACTAATAACTTTAAGGTACATTATGTTATGGTCTGCTCTTTTATCTGCAAATCTGTGTGACATAGCATGTATGCTAAATTTCTAATTTATTTATGATGAAATTCTGTATGAGCTTATATGAAGTATTATTTCTACAGAACAAAAGAGATGAGCATCTTCTGAAGAGGAGAAATGTTCCCCATGAGGACATCTGTGAGGACTCTGATGTTGACGGAGATTTCAGATCGGTATGTTTGTTTGTTTGTTTGTTTTTTGTTTGTTTTTTAGTTTCCCACTCAAGTCTCCTGTCATTGGGAAGTCAGGTAAACATCTTTTTAGTTTTTGTGCGTTCTTTTTGTTTGTTTGTTTGTTTGTTTTTTAAAAGGTCGGGTGTTGTCCAAGCAGTGGGAATAACAGTCTGGGAGGGAGGTTGTCATGACTGTTTGTTCAAGGGGTTTTTGCACGTGCAGGTCATCACAGTGATGAAACACTCCAGAGGTTTAGAACCTGCTGACATCTTGTTCATGTGATGCTGCCTCATTGGCTCTCCGTGCTTTACGTCAGCTCGGTGTGGCATTAGTGTGAAAAAACATGCAGTTTGTCTAGCTGTCTGCTTGTTGATGGGTTCTTCCCGAAGGAAGATACTCACTCGGTAGAATGTGTTCAACATACCTTATTTTCAGATATTTAGTTTGCTTTTTACTAAACAGTAATGCCACATTTTTATTTTATTTTTATTATGTTAACTGTGCAGTGAACACCTATTCTGTTTCCTAAAATGTATTCTAGGTAAGAAAAGGCAACATAAATAATATATGTAGTACTGTTTCAGCTGCCCCCAAATCATTTTTCCCCAAGTGTCTCAGACCTGACATTATATGCTTTTTAATCTTCAGGTTAGGGGTTGGGGTCAATTTAAACAATGTGTAAATGCATGCACAGTCAAGTTAATCAGTGAAGTAAAATATCATGGTATTGGAGCCTATTAAATGACCTACATCCTTTTACTCTGTAACTGACCCATTTCAAGTGGTACAGTGTTTTTGTTGGGTGATACACTAGCTGTTTGTATTTAGCTATAATGTTTTTAAGTTCAAAATACTCATCACTTTCTGGAGTGATGACAAGGAGGCAGAGAGGGCCTATCTGGACATTTCATGGTTGATTTAAAGAAATGTCATCAGCCCACTTCAGTCTCTATGGCTGTGTTTTAATAATGCTACTTCCACACAACAAAGGAGCTCTGAGACAAAGGTGACCAACAAAGCCACCTTCCTTAAATGTAAAGGGTCAGCTGATAACAAGAATATTGCTCTCGCTTAAATTTTTGCTGCTCTCATCAGTGGGCCTTGGGTCTTTTCTCTCATTGGACAGCCCTGAAATCTGATTAAACACAGAAGACATCGGGCATTTCAAGGTGTACTTTATTTTCAACAACATATTTTTCTCAACATATGTCACAAGGTGCTTTTCTGGATGTGCAAAAAGTTGGATCATCAGTTTTAAACCTTACATCAGGGGTCCCCAACCCCAGTCCACGAGGGCCGGTGTCCCTGCAGGTTTAAGATCTCACCCTGGGTCAACACACCTGAATCACATGATTAGTTCATTGCCAGGCCTCTGGAGAACTTCAAGACATGTTGAGAAGGTAATTTATCCATTTAAGTCAGCTGTGATGGATCGAGGACGCATCTAAAACCTGCAGGGACACCGGCCCATGTAGACTGAGATTGGGGACTCCGCCTTACACCCTGAGAAGCTTGAAACTATCTGCAATTGTCTCAGTAACCATCTTGTAGTATAGGCAGTAGGGCTGCCACGATTAGTCGACTAGTCACGATTATGTCGACTATCAAAATCGTCGACGACTAATTTAATAGTCGACGCATCGTTTGAAGCTTTGTAAGATCACAAAGGACGCAGGAATGAGTAGTAGGATTTAAGAGTGTAATAACGGACTGAAACAGAAGATGGCAGCACTGCATGTACAAGGATGCCAGCTGCCGTTAAACCCCGAAGAAGAAGAAGCTGTGTCCCAGAATTCATAGCGCAGCCCAGCGCAGTTGTCAACAATGGCGGCAGCTACTTAGTTTTAACTTTACTCTTATTATTCTTTCTGGGTCACAAAATAAACGTTTAACATATTTTCAGGCGAGAATGTAGCTGTGTAAACCTCAAATATCTGCTCAGTTTATCAAGACACCACATATTTTCAAAAGCGCTCCGACGTTTTCGGAGACGTCTGTTACCCACTAGCTCGTTAGCTAGGCGGGGGCAAGGCTAACTAGAGCCGAGAGAACACCGGACTCCCGGCAAATCGTTTTCAAACCCACCGCTGTCTTTTGCTAGTCAGGTTAAACATATATATATATAAGTCACTTAGATAACTTAAAATGTTATTGTTTGGCTTTTTTCAGTATTTTATTTGTTCCTGAGTAAATCGGTTTGGCTGAGATTAAAGTTATAGTTTTTGCACAGCTAAAACTGTCAAGCAGACAGCTGATTATCAGAAGTGTGAGACGCTGGAGAATATACTCCGGTGTCCTGTTATATTTTAGAAAGCAAGGAGTTTATTAAACTTCACCGAAACAATCTGCAAATTTCATTAAAAATTAATAAACTACCATCTTGTCTTTATTTTTAGTTAGCACAAACACTTCAAGCTGTAAGCTAATGATAGTTATATAAGACCAGATACTGCTGGTGCAATAAGCTGTACGTCCAATGGATGATGATCTGATTAGTCGACTAATCGCAAAAATAATCGGTGACTAGTCGACTATCAAAATAATCGTTTGTGGCAGCCCTAATAGGCAGTGTTGGCTCACGCTTCATGTTTTGTGCTAACGGTGTCACACAAAATGGATCCATCATGTCTCTGGATTTGGTGGCATCGCTGGGTTAAAATGGCCACTCAGCAGTTCAAAATTGCAATCACTCTGACGACCTCATAGTGTTGAGAAAGCTAACTCGGAGTGAGCTGCTTAGCAGTAGATCAACAGTGACATGCTGCTCTGACTCACTGCAAAACATTACACTGGCCTTTGTGAAAGTCTGCTTTAACTACTCATCACACCAGTGATAGTGGTTTTAAGGTTTATTTAATTGTTTCCTTAAGGATGCTTTTTGTTAGCTTCTGCAGAATAAGTAGTTTGGACCCTACGACTGAATCCTCTTTCCCTCAGCTGTTCCTTTCATTATTCTTGTCTCAAGTATTTTTAATATCTCTAGGTTGGAGTTGCCTCTTTAATCATCTGCCCAGACATCGAATGTAAATACAACATCATAAATCTGCTTCACTCAGAGATGCTAGGATTTTTTTTTTCTGGTTTCCACTCGTGCTGCATAAATTAATCAGAGGTATCTTCCAATAAGTTCAGCCACTCAGGGCCTACGTTTGACTCTGAACTTCATGTAGGGGGCACTGGGTAAGGGTGCCAATTGGCATTTTGTCATGGTGAATGACGGCCTGCACGTCCAGCTTGCTGACTGTTACACCGTAACACCAGACTGGTTCAAGCGAGACTCCTGACGGCATTTCTCAATCCCCCAGCCTCCTCTCGCTGTGTCAGCTGGTGCTTTAGACTCTTTCCTGTCTAACAGTTTTCACATATAAAAACAAGAAGCTAACAGATGTCTGCTCGCTGTCCTTCTGATAACTCACTACATGCCTTTAATAGTGCTGTTTGTTTTTTTACACATTGGGTTTAAAATGTTTTTTTTTTCTGTTACACATCCTGTATGTTTTTGTACTTTTGGGTTTACGTGTTTAACGGAGTCCTAATCTTTCTGAAATCTTCTTCTTCAGCAAAACACCTCTCTTGAAGCAATAGTACAAGTAAGTGCTATATTTCCTTTCCTGTTATTTGAATGATTAATTACAAATAACAAATGTCCTTTAAAGTCTGCTTAATGTCTTATAATATACTCCCTCTAACTAAAAATATTTTGGAAAACACACATTGTTGCTATAAAATAAATATGTTGATTGTTGTATTGTGCGTGATTCATTTGTATTTTCTTTTTTTAGAATGCTACCAGTGATAACCAGGGCGTCCAGCTGAGCGCTGTTCAGGCCGCCAGGTAAAAACACACACACACACACACTTGGCCTGCCTCAGGACGGAACCTGATAACTATTCTTTCTTTTACATCATGTTGCAAATAGAAACCACTGCACATCAACATCTAGGGGGAAAAATGCTGTCCCCTACTACTGTTTGTGGAGTTTTCACAATAAGTGAACTTCACCGACTGACAGAGCTGTGATGTACGGCGCCGTACATCACAGCTCTGTCTTGGCGGTCTTTCTGGTTGAAATTGCTGGTTCTTTGCAAAATACAACTTCAGTGTTTTGTTTTCTGGGGCGAAGTGTTTGTTGTTTTTTGGTGATCGTGGCTCAAGAGTTGTGAGTTTGCCTTGTAATCGGAAGGTTGCCGGTTCGAGCCCCGGCTTGGACAGTCTCGGTCGTTGTGTCCTTGGGCAAGACACTTCACCCGTTGGTCAGAGGGCCCGGTGGCGCCAGTGTTCGGCAGCCTCGCCTCTGTCAGTGCGCCCCAGAGTGGCTGTGGCTACAATGTAGCTTGCCATCACCAATGTGTGAATGTGTGGATGACTGGTTGTGTAAAGCGCTTTGGGGTCCTTAGGGACTAGAAAAGCGCATACAAATACAGGCCATTTACCATTTTTAGTTTGTTTTTGTTTGTTTTTTTTCCCTTCCAGCTTTGCTTGACAGATGCGATTCAAGAATAAGCCAGCTCTGTCTAATTAATGGACATTGTAAATGGCTCTGCAGCCCAGTCATGCAGCATAAGGTAGCTGAAACAAATTCACGTGCTGGGAATCTTTTTATTTTTTGTTTGCTCGATGTTAGATGTGCCGGGAAATGCATCGATTTTGTTTTCAGTTTTGTTTTTGACTTTCAACTAATATGAAAACAAGATAAGATATCGAGATAAAATTGTTACGGTGCCACATTCTGTTTCACAATACCGCTTTTCGGTTTCGCTACAAATCCACAGCACCACGTGCTGTTACAGACGTCAGAGCTGTGAAGCGTTTAATTCAGCTTGCATTAACAGTGTTCTTAAAATATTAAAGAAATTAAAACGGCACCTTCCCCCCCCCTTTGTCTTTAAAACAACAACAACAACCCAGATGCATGATAAGAGTACACGTGTTAGCTTTCAAAATAACGTTGATTATTTTAGGTGATAATCTGGGTGACGTCTCCTTGGAGTCACTGATATTGTGATTGACTTGCATTCTCAAGATACTTGAAATTCTTGAGCTGTTTCTCTCTGTGCTCAGTCGCTTCAGCTTGGTGTTTGTGTGTGGGTTTTTTTTGTGTGTGTGGTTGTGTGAGAGAGAGAGTAATTGTCTTTTGTTTTCTCTTTGTTTTTGTAGAAAATTGTTGTCCAGTGACCGTAATCCTCCCATAGATGACCTGATTAAGTCTGGGATCCTTCCTATCCTGGTGCATTGCCTGGACAGAGATGACAAGTAAGCCAGCTGTAGCTCTTGTTTGCCTGCATGTAGCGTTGAGTTTGTGTTTTAGCGCACCCTACATCCAAACAACGTCACAGATGTGCAAATACATTTTAGTTTACACTTTCCAGGAATGGTGGAACATAATCGGCTCATTAGTATTCTTTCTGTTCATTAGTACTCTTACTGTTAAACACACTGACACAATTATGCTCACTCCTATAATTGCCTCTTCTGCACCTTTCCACAGCCCCTCTCTCCAGTTTGAGGCCGCCTGGGCTCTAACCAACATAGCCTCTGGGACCTCAGAGCAGACTCAAGCTGTGGTCCAGTCTAGTAAGTTTCACTTCTCTTTCTTAGCTTTATCTTGCTTTACTCTGTAATGTGTCTTTCTTAATCTAAATTTAGCCTGGGAGATAATAAGGTGGTAAAATTAACTTTTGAGAAATCAAGATTTTTATTGCAGTTAAAGACTTTTGACGAGGTGAAGACTTGTGCAAATTTCTGTAATATAAAATACTAGTATAAGTACTAGCGACCTCAGTAATTTGGAAAACACAGATTGTAATGGGTAATTCCGCATTTGTAAAGATTTACTTTGTGATATTGGTTTAATTCTACTTGTAAAAGTGGAATTGTGCTGTTTTCCTTAGGCCTGAGATCGGTTGGAGGTGCCCTAACAACCATTAGTCGCTAGGAAAAATGTGTAGCCCCTGACTGGTTTCATGGCCTGTGTGACCCGGGCCTTATCAAAGCCGCCTCCTTAACCACGTTCGTTGTTTCTTGGTGTCATGACCTGTTTGTGGTTGATCACATTAAACGGCAGTGCTTATCATTACAGTACATACAGTCCCAATCATTGATGCATTATGCAGCCTTAACAGCAACATTTAGTCATCTTAATCAGGTTTAAAAGCGCTTTCTTAGTTAAGATCTTACAAATTTCTTTGTTTAGTCAGTGATTTGTTTATTTTTTTTATAATCTGTTTTCCTTTGTTTAGACGCTGTGCCGCTCTTCTTGAGGCTGCTTCACTCTCCTCACCAGAATGTGTGTGAACAGGCCGTCTGGGCTCTGGGAAACATCATAGGTGAGCTGCAATGAACAGAATGAACGGGACTGCGTTAGAAATTAATCCTCATTCGGTCCTAAAATCTGTGTGTTCTTTCCAGGTGATGGCCCTCAGTGCAGAGATTATGTGATCAGCTTGGGTGTGGTGAAGCCCTTGCTCTCCTTCATCAGTCCCTCCATCCCCATAACCTTCCTCCGCAATGTCACTTGGGTCATGGTCAACCTTTGCCGTCACAAGGATCCTCCACCACCCATGGAGACAATCCAGGAGGTATGTGGAGAGAGTGCATGTGCTTAGGGGTGTAGGAATGCACTGTCATCATTTGGTTTTGCGTTTTTATTCCCTCATTTATACCAAGAGCAAAAAACATTTGAGGGTCTTTGAATTTTAACATTGAGACGGTGCAAAATAAACTTGAACCATCGACCGCTTCATTTATGGACGTCTTAACTTATTTGTGTTTCTATTTGCTGGCTGTACCTTTATGTAGAAAAGCAACCTCACCTATGTCCTTGATGTTACCACAGTTAATGCTTTGCTTGTGGGTTTAAAAACACCTTCAATAGTTTGAAGTCTTGTTGAAGAAAAACATGATGACCATTTAGTAAGTTATGGGTCATGAACTGGAGACAAAAAGGGGGCGATAAATAGCAGGCAGCTCGAGACTTCAATAACATACAGGTGATGTCACAGTGGTTATGTCCATCCTTTATATACAGTTTGCAGTATGTGCAGTTACAAGTCCTGAAAAATGGGTTGAAAACATTAAGGTGTAAGGGAAGCCAGCATTTATATAGACCAGGTTGGGGGAACTCCAGGCCTCAAGGGCCGGTGTCCTGCAGGTTTTAGATATCACGCTGGGTCAACACACCTGAACCAAATGATTAGTTCATTACCAGGCCTCTGGGGAACCTCAAGACATGTTTAGGGGGTAATTTAGCCATTACAATCAGCTGTGTTGGATCAAGGACACATCTAAAACCCTGGAGTTCCCCACCCCTGGTATAGACATTTGAACTGTCTGATCCATCTAAATGTATCAGGGAGTATCAAGTTGGACGTTGGGACAGTATGTCAGCAACTGGATTGTGGCAGATAAACTGATTTAAGTCCGCATCTGTCAGACTTCATGTCCTGTTCAAGTGTTGGATGCAAGGCACACAGTGCAGAATTCAGTGAACCTGTGGTTAGGTGAGGCCAGCCAAAGGACAGCAGCTTTGTTTTAGTTATGTGTTGTAATCAGGTGATTCAGAGAAGAGTTGTCAGAAATTATAGTGGTTAATTACGTCAACACTGCAGCTATGATCAAACTTGAATCATGCCAGGAACTTTACTTGTGTTTTCACTCTCATTTTATCCACCTCGTAACAGTTTATTTTCTTTCTCAGATACTGCCAGCTCTCTGCGTTCTGATCCACCACACTGACGTCAGTGTAAGTACCCAGAACTGTCCTACGTAACCACGATGCACACTGGCTTCCCAGTTCCAGCTAAATTATCCCTGTCGAATCAAGTTTAAACAGAAAGCAAAATGTATTCATTTGAAGCTTTTCTTTCTTTGCTACCTCCAGATCTTGGTAGACACAGTGTGGGCTCTGTCCTACCTGACAGATGCTGGGAACGAGCAGATCCAAATGGTTATTGACTCCGGCATTGTCCCACATCTGGTACCTCTGCTCAGTCACCAGGAGGTTAAAGTTCAGGTATGGGAAAAGGGCATGGGGGCGTTTTTATGTCTAATTAAACCTAAATTGGGTATTGTTTTTAAAAACCCCATTGATGCAGAAGAATGAACCAACATCATGTGAAGATTAGCGCTGCATTCAACCAAAAAATATCTTGGTTGACTGAAATTTTACCCACTCTTCAAGTTATTAAACAGTTGCACAGAGAAGTAAACTTTCACATCACGTTTACATTAAATAAATCCGACTCAGTTGTCTGTGTTCCCTCTAAAGCTCCTTTCGAGTGCTCCCTTATTCACTCAAGTTTTACATCGGATGCTTTTCCTGACACAACCACTCTAAGTGTTGTTATAACTTATGAACAAAGATTAAAAAACAAGATTTGTGATACATTAAATCACTCTTACCAAGTTATCTAAAATGATGACAGATTGGGATCCAACCAGTACTCATCCATCTGAAAATAGACCTGCATTAACTGGTAATCCTAGAAGAACAGACTTTGGACTTCATGTCCAGAACAAACTGTTAGACTATTGCTGTTGTGATTTCTCGTTTACATGAGAGAGGAGGCTTTAAGTCCTGCTTGGTCTGTGTGTCGCTGAGACATTGAAACAGTGATGCTGACCAAACGCACTAAAAGATGTCAGTTCTGAGCATTAAATAAGAAGTTAGCAGAAACTAACCCACATAGGTTAGCATGCTGCATTAAAGCTATGTGCTTTGTTGCTTGTCAACAACCCAAAACCTCTTTGACATGTTATCAGTTACTCTGAAACAGCATAAACAGCCTGCACTTTTAAAAGTATTTGGCAGTATCTGGGTTCGGGTTGGTTTCAAAACGCATAGCTTTTTATTAGAGATGGCACGATGCCACTGTTTTATGTCCGATACCGATATCATAAATTTGGATATCTGCCGATACCGATATGAATCCGATATAGTGTTTTTTTAATCAATAAAACTGTTTTTTTTTTATATATATATATATCTTGCTGCTTTTTGTATAAGTTCATACTCAAGAAAAAAAAAAAAAAAAAACACTAAAGCTATTCTGTTATACCTCCCTTTTCCCTGTTAATGCCCTATCGGCCTCCCTGGCTAAACTTTGCTAGATCCGCCCCTGCACAGTTACCAGCGTCAGCTACGTAGAAAAAGATCCTCGAGTAGAAAGTAATATTAAATAAATTCTAACAACAGCTTATCAAGCTTAAATGTGCTGCTGTTGTTCAGCCGCTGGTTTCCTCTTTCTGGTGCAAAGTGGGCCAAAAACAAACAAGAGAGACAGACTCGCGACAGAAAAGCCGATCAGCTGATTATTGATCAGTTTCATGATTGAAGTAGCAGCAGGAGAGGGAGGGAGAGAGGGAGGGAGAGAGAGGCAGTCGCTCCATATATCAGTTGTTAAGCTAAGGAATGCTTTACAAACATTCAGAGATGAACTTGCACACCTGCTTTACTTCTCTCTGGGATAACTTCCTCAGAGATGAAATGCCGGATTGCTAGCGAGGCTACAAATACACACAGCCGCTGTATCACGTGAGCACACTGCTCCGACGTGCTACGGTTATGAGCTGAGTTACACCATGTCGCAAGTTTTTTGAGGTGCTTTTTTTGATATTTAATGGATCGGATTACATTTTTTATTTCCCTCCGATATCCGATCCAGTAATTTACGTCAGTATCGGATTGATACGTAATATTGGATCGGTCCATCTCTACTTTTTATAGACCACCAATGGCAGCTTGGGTTGCGTGGGATTATATTGACCAACCAAGCAATATGGACGATCCAGCCAGAGTACCTAAAATGTAAAAATCATAAAATACTACTTCTGTTATCTCAACACTGGAAACATTAATAATTATACTAAGTGAAGCAAAAATGTGGTGATAATTCTTCTTTTTAACTGCTCTTACTGTTTAACTCCAGTGAGATTTGTCTTAGTTTCTTTGTGCTACAAGCATATTGAGTATTACGAAAGAAGTCTTCTTTGTATGTGTCATCATCAAACACGCTTCCTCTCCACATGCAGACCGCTGCCCTGAGGGCTGTTGGGAACATTGTGACCGGCACAGACGAACAGACCCAGGTGGTGCTCAACTGTGACGCCCTCAGCCATTTCCCTGCGCTCCTCACCCACCCAAAGGAGAAAATCAACAAGGTAACGTTCTCCGACTGTTTGTAAGAAACACACAAACTTTGTCAGTCATCTGGAAGTGATGAAAACAGAGACGTTGTGCAAGTGAGTGCTGCGTGAAAGGAAATAGATGGGGCAGATAGCTGAGAGCAGGAATTTAAAAGGTGCAGAACCACAAAGACGAAGAACCGAAGAGGACGCCAACAACTTTATACCTTCAATTAGTAGCATAGATTAGGGGTTTGATAAGGGGTAGTAGTGTGTGTGTGTGTGTGTGTGTGTGTACGTGTGTGATACATGGGTTGGTGGAGAAAGGGTGCTGAAGACCAAGCGTCTCTGCTGATATCGGAGTGCATCTGAGACCAGTCACGTAAAAAAAGAGGCCTCCTTTTTGTGACTGGTCGATGATTAGAGCCTCAAAGTCACCCTCTCCCCGCCCACTGCACTGTGTCTCAGCCGGGGGTCAAAACTCTGTTTCGACCCCTGGGTTCTGATCCAGCTCTCACTTGCTTTGTGATCAAACATACACTGAATCTCTGTGACACAGCACATCATTCTCATGAGAGAAAATCATCAGTAACTCTTGTGTTTATGCTTTTGTCCTGTAGGAGGCAGTGTGGTTCCTGTCCAACATCACAGCAGGTAACCAGCAACAGGTGCAGGCCGTCATTGACGCCAAGCTGGTTCCTATGATCATTCACCTGCTCGATAAGGTTTGTATCCATCTTAAATCGATCCTGTCTAATTACTTTCAGAGAGCTTCTGGGTGATGGATGGGTTGCTTACATTGAATGTATGTTTTAGGGTGACTTTGGCACTCAGAAAGAAGCAGCCTGGGCCATCAGTAACCTGACAATAAGCGGGAGGAAAGATCAGGTAAGCCTCTCCCAAACACATGAAAAGTGTACAAGAAATGGGAAGTCAGTGGTATGGAAGTTCTGTAAACATAGAACTGAAATGACTTCATCATATTTGCTGCTTTAAGCTTAATCATTTTCATTGATGAGTAAAATGCTCTTCCTTTTTTAACGCGGTGAGTTAGTGATAGTGCATCTCTGTGTCGTCTTCAGGTGGCACACCTGATCGAGAAGCAGGTGATCCCTCCATTCTGCAACCTGCTCACAGTGAAGGACGCTCAGGTTGTGCAGGTTGTTCTCGATGGCCTCAGCAATATCCTAAAAATGGCTGACGATGAGGCAGAGACTATTGCTAACCTCATTGAGGAATGCGGAGGTCAGTGTCACCTTTACCATCACAATTGTTGGTCTTAACTTGTTAACATCAGGTGTTAATGTGTAATTGTTTTTTGTTTCACAGGTCTGGAAAAGGTGGAGCAACTGCAGAATCATGAAAATGAAGATATCTACAAATTGGCATACGAAATTATTGATCAGTTCTTCTCATCTGATGATGTAAGTTACTTAGGATATCTGCAGTTTTTTTTTTTTTTTAATTGTTTAGGCTTTCAAGTGATTTAAAAAAAAAAAGTCTTCACACTGATCAAATGAAGATGAACAGGTTAGTTCTGAGTTGTCACAAATGGGGCTCCAGTTTCACCCTTTTCACTGACCTTTGAGCCACAAATCATAGAGTAAGTCTGAAAATGGATCCTGCCCAGTGTGGCTGTCCAAACTGCTAATTTGATTCGGGTCAGCGGTCTGAATCACTGTCAGCTTTAGGTCGTTACCATGGTGCTGTCATACCACAAAGCAAGGTGGTTAATCCAAGGAGAAGTGCCAAAGTGATTGTTTGTATTGACAGTTCTTCTATTTAGGATGTAGATAAACTTTAATATCCCTGAGGAGCAAGTTGGCAAGGCAGCCCACTTCCAGAAACCCAGAATCACATACCAGAATTCACAAAGTTAACTTCAATAAGTAGAGCTACGTAGACCCACTTTCTTTAGAAAGCTGCTGATGGTCCCTGGCTCAGGAACAGTGGCTGGCTATCGTCTTGACCCTAACGCCTCGTCTGCTGACTGTCCGCGCAGTGTTAATGCTCCTTTTACTCGTCTGTCTTTCAGATCGATGAAGACACCAACCTGGTCCCGGAGGCCATCCAGGGCGGAACTTACGGGTTCAACTCAGCCAACGTGCCAGCCGAGGGATTCCAGTTCTAGACGGCATCTGGGGTATTCTGGAGTTTTGTTCACGATGCAGCACTCTGTTCAACATATAAAAAATTAGGAGAGAAAGGGCGAGAGAGAGCGAGTGTGAGAAATTTGATCCATTGTGCTTGGCTCGTGGGATCCATGGCTGCATCTTATCTGAAAGAAAAATATGTGGATTTCATTTGGCATTCCAGGGGAACCAGCCCAAATGAAGTTTGAGATGGCGAGTGGGTGCGAGTGAGAATGAGTGGCTACATGTTGCAAAAAAAAAGCAAAACATCTACATCGAATGTATTGAGAGACATGCCGACATAACTTCTGTGTTATTGGAGCTGTCGTCCTCGGAAAACTACTTCAAATGACAAGAAAAACGAAAATAAGAAAAACTCCATGTCTGCCCAGGGAGAACCAAGGACATTAAAAAAAAAAGAAAATCAAGTGATCTTGAAATATTACAATACAGCAAAATGCAGAAATGATTATAACTATGATTATGAACTGAGATGAACAACGAACCATCACAATTCTGCGGTCCTCCGACTAGAGAGGGCGCCAGCCTCAATGTGCCCCTCCCCCAATCGGCCACGCTATCAGACATGTGTGTGAATGGACCCATTGTGTACGAATGTCTGGACTCAGCGCTGAGGAGCCAGGTTCATCTCCTCCAACGAGACGCCCCCCCACGCGGGGCGCAGTCCTCTCCCCCTGGTGGGCGGGGCCAGGAGTCCGGCTGCGCGTGTTCGCATGTTGCGAGAGAGTGGACGGATGAGTCGTGTGTGCTTGGCTGCGTGCGTGAACTGGGAGTGTGCGAGACTGGGTGAGAACGCATGCAGAGATGAGGAAAAATGAAAAAACAACCAACAACAACAAAAAAAGATACAAAAACATCTGAAGAGAAAAGAAAATTGCAACAATGAGGTTCGCAAAGGTTTCAGGAAGAAATTCTGCCTTTGAGAGGCTGATCTGCGAAATCCCTGAAAGAAGGAACTGTGGATATGAGAAAACCATCGTCGTCACCAGGATTTTGTTTTTGATTTATTAAGTTAGTATTAATTGACACTGGACAATGTTATTGGCAGGTGTGGAGCAGAAGTGCATTGTATTAAGATGCATTTGGTGGCTTTGGGGCTTTTTTTTTTTTGCCTCCAGTGTATTTTCTTTTTCTTTCTTTTCCTTTTTTATGACTTTGTTTTCCAGCTTTTAGTTTCATATCGCTTCTGTAAAGGTGATTGATGACCATCGTACTCCATCCTCACACCACATCCCTAACCTACACACCAGATATGGGCTTGATGCTGTGAAATTGTTGACACCTTCACTTTATAATCAACCAAATGACCTGTTCCTCCTTGTAACTCCTTTATTTCCCCCCACCCCTTTTCCCTTCAATTAACAGCAAAATCACTGCTTTGCAGTACTGTTGCCATAGCTTTGATTGTCACCAAGGGAGAAGAGGACAATGGCCATTTCACGTAGGATTGTGAATCATAACCTTTGCATGTACTAAACTATAGCACAGTTATTTTTTAGGGTATTTTAGTTTCCTTAGGCTGTGGATACAGTGTAATTTTCATTTTAAGTAAAACTGTGCTTAAATGTTACATGTTTCTCCTTCCCCTTTTCCCTCACTAGTGTCTGATTTGCTAAATAATCTATATGGTTTTTGCACATGTATTGCAAAGTGAGGCCTGACGTCTTTCTGAAGGTGTGCTGGTGGGTTTTTATAGGTTTTGACCTGCCAGCAAAATCTCAATATGCATCACTCACTCAACCACAATCTGTTGTCTTTCAAGAGTAATCCAAGGATGCTTTTTAGTGAGAAATTGAGTTTATTTCAGGTGGTTTAACCTCACCCACTTTTTTTCTCTCTCAAGGTCAGAGGGTGTCCCACACATCAGACTGGAGTATGTGGGTTTTCCTGAATAATATATAAACCCATGAACAAGTTTGCTGTAACTTTAGTACCTGAGTCCTTTAGCCCCATTACTCCCCTTTCCTCTTTCTGCCAGCTAGGTGTACAAGCTTACCCCTTTAATTTTTTTTTTTTTGTGTTAACTTCAAACACTGTAGTAATGATTACACATTGTGCTCATAAATAAGCCTTCTGTTTGAACATAGGGGTATTTTTTTTTTTGCAGCATTCCTTGTTAGCAAACGTGGTTTCAAATTTAAAATTACGACTGGGAAAGAAAAAATAAATAAATGAATGAGGTGGCTTCCCCCCCAAAAGCAAACTCATTTTTCGGGGGAGATAGGATACAGGATAGGTTGTCTTCGAGAAAATAAATAGTGAAACCCAAATCGAGAGACTACGTGTGTGTGTGTGTGATCTGTTGTGTGTCCCTGATAATGTCTTCGCTTCTCCTAACGGTTACAATTTTTCAAATTAGGGGAAAATCGAGTCCTGATTGGCCAGAGAGGCACCTTCTGCTCGTGCGTGGTACGGAAATAGCGGCGCCTCTGGGTGCTTTCGGAAAAATGGATGACCGTGAAAAGGGGTTTTAAAAAATGCATAATTGCGAAAAAAAATAGCTACCGCTTATAGTTATTATTTATTTGGGTTTTTTTACTCGCAGTCTTTACTATACGAGCATGCGCTCTAGAAGTCTAGCGCCTTTTCCCGTTTTCTTTCTTTCATCGCTAACAGGATTTGCGGGAGTGCACGTGAACGCAGCACGCGTAGGAGCTGACAGGAAGTGAAAGCTCTGTTGTTGGACAGACGCTTTCTCCCAGCTGACGGTGAGTTTGGTCTTGTTTTTGTTTTGTTTCTTTTAAACAGGAGATTTCTACACGAAAAGTGGTGCTTAAGTTGTTAAAGTTGGTGGGGTTTCTTCTTTTTTACGTCAAAACTAGAATCAGCAGATGAGGAAAACTGCTATTAAAGTAGTGACCGCAACTGCTGTGTGGCTAGCACAGTTAAAAAGTTAAAAAGATTCGGGTAAAGAGCACATTTTAATAATGTACACTGTTTTTAACGTGTTACTACTTTTTCCACACACATTAAGAATGTAAAATATGACGCATGAGTGAAAACTGAACTGTAGCAGTCTCTGCCGCTACTTTACACCTCGGTGTAGATGGATTTTAAAGTAATGCTTTTGGATGTACACTTCCATACGTGGAGGAGACCACGTTTGGCTTGATGCCGATTCGCCGCGGGCAGCTGGACATCGGTCACCTGTTTGAATCTAGGCGCCAAATTGGCCCCAGTCAGACTCCGTGTATGGATCAGGTTATGTAGGGGACAGATGAACAGCGTGTCCTCACAACAATCTCTCTCTCTCTGTGTGTGTGTGTGTGTGTGTGTGTGTGTGTTGGACTGGGTGGGTGCTGGCAGAGGGCCTCCTATTGTCGCTGCGGTCCTGGCTGTAACAGGAGGAGAGAGCACACGAACACTGCAATATAACCGATCCGGTAATAAGAGCTGAGCCCTTTTTTTGGCTGTTCTCTTGTTTTTCAGTGAATGATCAGCTCTTTCTCACATTGGTTAGATTTGAACTTTTTTATAGGATAAGTATACACCCAGATTACTTTATCAGGTAATCTGAGGCACTCTAACACATAATGTTCAATTTTTTTTTCTTTTAAATGTCAATAAATTATTTAGCACTAAGACTGTAGTTAGGACTGTTTTACTAACCTGTGTCATCTCCAGTGACACTGCAGCAGTGTGGCAAACCCTTCTCAGTGATCTGAAAATACATTCTGAGCTAGATCTTCAGGTAAAGGTTTTGGCTGGTTGCCTTTAGACCCACCAATAAAGGAATTGTCCCTAACCAGAGTGTTTTCATAGGTATTCTTATGAAATGCTAGCAGGGGAGACTGTTAGTATCAGTGCTGAGCTATCAGGCGAGGTAATAATGCCTTTTTAATATGATAGCCTAACTTGAGGATCAATATGGGCGCTAAGAGAAGAACTGTGGGACTGTATGAGGGGGTCAGGAGTGGCATAGAAGTATGTGAGGTGTGTGGTAGGAGGCAGATGGCTTCAAAGTGGAGGTGGGATTATGTCCAGGATCTGCTCTGAGCCCCTTCTTGTTTGCAGTGGTGATGGTCAGGCTGACAGATCTCTGTGGATTGTGATGTTTGCAGACAACATTGTGATCTGTAGTGGGAGCATAGAGCAGGTAAGACAACCTCGGTGGAGGTGTTCTCTGGATAGAAGAACGCAAGATATAACATGCGTATGAATGAGAGCTAGACAGGTGTAACAGTGAAGGTGGATGAGTTTACATACCTGGAATCAACCATCTAAAGTAACAGTGTACAAAAGAGGTGGAGATGAGCGTTTGGTTGATGTTACGATATCATAGCAATGAGAATGAAAGGAAAAGTTTATGAGATGGTAGTGAGACCTGCTGTGATGGTTTGGAGACAGTGGCAGTGATTAAAAAGACAGCATTTGGAGGTGGCAGAGCTGAATATCCTCAGATGTTCATTACGAGGCACAGGATTAGAGATGAGCATATTTGTCACACTTGCATTTTTCAGATCATCAAACACATTTTCACATTTTAATATTAGACAAATATAACAAAGGTAAATGCAAAATGCAGTTTTTAAATAATGATTTCATTGATTAAGAGAGGAAAGGTTATCCAAACCTGCCTGGTCCTGTGTGAAAACCGAATTGCCCCTCTTGTTAAATCATGGATTAACTGTGATTAACCACATAGTTTGGAAAGCTATATTCAGTTTCACTAAACACACTCAGGCCTGATTACTGGCAGACTTGTTGAATCAAGAAATCCCATAAAATTGAACATGAATGACGAAGTGAAGCAGACTAAAAGATCTCAAAAAGCAACACATGCCAAGAGCTAAAGAAACACCTGGGATACAAAGTCACTGACATATATCAGTCTAGAGTCAAAGGCTACAAAGCCATTTCTAGGGCTTTGGGACTCCAGCAAACCACAACGAGAGCAATTATCCACAACCCGGAACAGCGGTGAAGCTTCCCAGGAGTGACTGGCCTACCAAAATTACTCCGAGACCTCATCAACGACTCATCCAAGAGGTCACAAAAGAACCCAGAACAACATTAACAACATCTGTTCGTGACCTCAAGCTGAAGTGCACTTGGGTTCTGCAGCAGGACAATGATCCAAATCACACCAGCAATTTCACCTCTGAATGGCTAAAGAAAGGCAAAAATAAGGACTTTGAAGTGGCCTAGTCAAAGTCCTGAGCTGATTCCGATTTTCAAACGGTTCATTCTCAAAATCCCTCCAATGTTGCTGAATTACAATAATTCTGCAAAGAAAAGTGGGCAGAAATTCCTCCACACCTGACACACCAGTTCTTGCTGGTAAAGGAGGCCCAACCAGTTATTCGGTTTTTCACACCAGCCTTGTAGGTTAATAACTCGATCCTCACAATAGATTTCAGTTTAAGTCTAAATTAAGCCCCATATTCACTAACACTTCATTTATTTCTCTAAACATGTGCAACAACTGTTTTTATATCCTGCCAGATTTCCTCTCCCCAAACCCTCACCCCTCCACCTGAGCGCCAGTCTCCATCATGGACAACCTAGAGGAGGACCTGACGTGCTCCGTGTGCTACTCTCTGTTCTCCGACCCACGAGTCCTGCCCTGTTCACACACTTTCTGCAAGACCTGCCTGGACAACCTCCTCCAGGTGTCGACTAACTACTCCATCTGGCGTCCGCTCCGCCTGCCGCTAAAATGCCCCAACTGTCGCAGTGTGGTGGAGCTGCCCCCTGCGGGTGTAGATGCTCTGCCCACCAACGTGTCTCTGCGGGCTATTGTCGAGAAAGTAGGAAAGAGTGACTGAGATGAAGTGTAACATGCAGTCAGAGCTTTTCTCTCTGTTTGTCTTCATTGGTCTCACATCTGTTTTGCCTGTGTGCCGTCCTCAGTATCAGATGGACAGTGAGCCACGACCACCTTCCTGTCCGGAGCACCACAGGCAGCCTCTGAATATGTACTGTATCCAGGACCGGCAGCTAATCTGCGGGCTGTGCCTGACGGTGGGGCAGCACCACGGCCATCCCGTAGACGACCTGCAGGCAGCTTTTATCCGAGAAAAACTGACGCCGTCACAGCTTCTGAAAAGGCTCTCTGAGGAGAGATGGGCACAGGTGGATGTCTCTCAATTTTGCAACACTCAAAAGTTCCCCAGTTATTAAAGTTTAGTTTACATGTAAATGAATCTTCTCTCCTCTGCCAGGTGTGTGAGCTGGGGGAACAGCTGGAGCAGGAGAAGGCCTGCTGTGAGGGTGTGGTGAGGCAGGACCGACAGGAAGTCAACCAGTTTTTTCAAACACTGGAGGTGGTGCTGGCCGGGAAGAGGCAAGCCTGCCTGGACGCTCTAGATAAAGCTGGAGCTGAGGTGTCGCGCGCGTATGACCCTCTCATCCACCAAGTAAAGGAGCTACAGGTGTGTACATACACCAGAACTATAAAACCAGTCATCAGACAGAATTATTTAATCTAAAATAAATCTGGAAAGCAGAAGCAGAAAAGGTTTGTTATTTTTAGTCAGTTTTTTTCCAATCATATTATTTTCTGTTTTTGCTCCTGTGGCATGAACCTGAGCCAATAACAGTCCTGTTTCCTGCAGGAAGAACAGCTGGATCTGGTGTCCTTGGGTTCGTCAGTAGAGGATGAAGACTCGCCCCTGGTCTTCTTGGAGAAGGTGCATTTGTTCAGAGAGCGGGTGGAGGAGTTCATTAAAACCCCTCTGCCCTCTGTGATGACCCTGTCCGTCACTCCGCGGGCAGCAGAGTACCTCCAGCAGCACTGGCCTGTCGTGACCATCGGGAGCTTGGAGGAGGCACCTGTTCCTAAGGTGCGCTGCTGTGCCAGATGTGGCGGTGCTGGGAGTGAAGCTGGAGGGGGTCGCTCCAGCAGAGGGGTTCAGGACGTGTGGGGTGAGCTACAACCTACTACGTCGGTGGTGCTGCTGGGGCTGCTGCTGCTGTTGGCGGTACTGTGGGTGAACCCGGTCGGAGGGGCGTCACTCGGCTTCTCCCTCATGTCTCGGCTCAGCCACTTGGTCCACAGCCTGAGCAGCGAACTCATCACCTGCGTGTGGGACACAGTGGGGAGGGCATATACCGCGGCGGGGGTGGCTGTAGATAGATGGAGTTCACAGCTCTCTGCGGTGGGTGTTAGGGTGTTTGAGCACCTGGCTGCCTTATTTAAAACTCTGACGTCTCGATAAGAACGGCCAAGCAGGTTCAGAAAACCTTTAAATGTGTTTAGAGTTTTTTTTAAGTCTCACTTCCCTGTTAGTGTAGAGACGGAAAGAATCCACCCTAAAACAGTTTGTAAACAGCTGCTACTCGCGATTTTACGTTCCCGTTTTGTTTAACAAAACGAGAGCCACAATGGTGAATTAGATTTTGCTGACATCTGCACAGCGAGGGTTTGGGACAGTGACCTTTTTCATGAACAGGAAAACTTGAGGTCATTCTAAACAATAACAAAAAGTCAGCCAATAGATGCAAAGACTGAACAAAAAACAATAAGATTCATTAGAAATGCCTTAACCACAAGTATACCTTTAGTCACACTCAAAAGGTTACATGTATGTATGTTTTCTCTAATGTGATTGTTCTGCACAAACATTTCAAAAGCTTCCTGTAACCTTCTGTAGGTGCACTTTGTGTAGCTTTATATCCTTTTTCCTCTATTATTGTGTTATTGATTTTGCTCTTCTTTGGACGCATGTTACTCTAAATAATGTTCAGAACATCAAACACTAATCCATCTTGAACCGTTCGGTCATTCTCTGTCCAGTCTTGCTATGGGACATTTCAGTAGCTTTCCTGCACTTTCTATACTTGGGACACAAGTGCAGCAGGCTACACGTAGAAGCCCTCACACGGAGCGATTTACAGTGACTGGTGCAGTATGTGAAATTTAGAGCCTGAGGAGTGGAAGCAGACACTCGTTGGACCTGAGTTAAAGCCACCACAGATCATGTTGCAGTGATGCCGAGCGCCTCCCTGACTGTGCCTTTAGCCATCATGCCTTCAGCTCGCCTCGCTTAATAGCTTTACAGTAATTCCACCAGGACCAATACATCGTTCCCAGGACAGAGCTTACCTTAAAAAAAAAAGAAAAACAAAGAGCCCCTAAAATGCTGCCCTGATTTACAGTCAACTTTTAAAAGTTGTTACTTTATTTTACTCAGTTCAGCTCTTTACTGAGTATCCAGCAGATATCTGTGCAGTGATGCAGACTCTGCACAGGCATGATACAAACCAGGATTTTATATGCTGCTGAAATCAGACTGAACTAATGTAGTCACACCTGTTGTAGTGTTTGTACTTCTATAAACTTCAGCTCATGTATTGAAAATAAATTTAAATACTTGTGTCGTGCTCAGTTTTTCCAAAGGTGAGATGAAACATTTTGTGCTGCAATGAATCAAACTCCCTACATCGTTGGCTGAACCAGCAAAACTCCAGTATCACTGTAAAGACATTTAACTACACATTTAATATAAAAAGGATTTAATTTTAATAGTACATCTCAGATTTTACACAGACAGCTGCTGTAACAAATGCAAAACATTTGTCAGCACATGAGAAAATTTTCTTTAAAAAAAAAAATAGCAGCATTTCATCATAAAGAACACAATATTTACATGATGTGTGAAAGGTAAAGTAAAAGAGCAAACAGGGTTCTTGGGTTTAGGCAGTGATGGCGTCGTGCTCTTTAAAGACGATGGTCTTTGGGTTGATTCCCACACTCTTGGTGGTGTTGTTAGTTTTGTAGATGCCGATGAGACGATCAGCGATCTCGAACATGTTGTTCCTCAGGGAAATGATGATGAACTGTGCGTTCTTTGTTTGCTCCTGAAAGAAAAATATATTTCCTTTAGTTTTACACCACCTTGCTGCTTTTTAAAGTAGCACTACTACTCAAAAGGGTGAATGTTTGAGGCATTAACAGAATCAACCGCTCCATACTCACATAAATGTAACAGGCCACAATGGAGACGTTCTTGAAATCAAGGGCAGCATCAATCTCGTCCATGAAATAGAGTGGTGTGGGCTTATAGTGGTGTAGCGCAAACACCAGAGCCAAGGAGCTGAGGGTCTTTTCTCCTCCCGACAGGTTAAAGATCTTCTTCCAGCTTTTCTTGGGAGGACGAACACTTAAAAAAAAAAAAAGTTTGTTTGTCTAGCAAATGCATCATCACCCAAAAAAAACAAAACAAAAAAATACTCATGTTTCGACTGTGTGAGATCTTAGAAAGACGCTGTGTCATTCATCTCCAGAAATTGAACACACTCCATATTTTAATCTGCCTTCATGCACAGCCTGAACCTGCTCTCAGTGCTCGAGCTCACACATTTCAGCAAACCACATGGTTGATAGCAAACGCTGCTTAACACACCAAAACAGCTGTGCACAGCTAAAACTGCTATTTTAAACTTCATGAGTAAAAGTACATCACATGCTTACACCTGACCATGTGCAGGTCAGGGCATTAGTGATGTGTGTTGTTCAGTACTGTTACTTGTTTTTAACAACAGTATCCTTCATTTGAGTCCCGTAAATGTTAAAAGGAAGATTTGGGATCAGTTTTAATAATAGAAGAAAACAGACGTACACTAAAAGAACAGTTTCACTGTGCTTGGCAGAAAGTTCAGAACATTTTAGGAAGAGGTCAGAGTGACGTAAGAAAAAAAAAAAAAAATCATAAAGCCAGTTCTACAAAATCTGAGGAACATAATTATAATGAAATGAATGAATCTCAGACTTTTAAATGCCAAAAAGGCAAATAATAAATTATTTTTATCCCTCTAATGTGAAAGACAAACTAGATCTCTCAAAAGGTCTGAGAGCTTTTTTTTGTGTTAAAGAATTTAGATTTTTACAATAAGTCTGCCTGAACATTTGTTTAATTCAAAGCAGGCAGGATTTAGTTTGGCTGTTAGTTTATTTGGATTGTTGGGATGTAAACAAGTGTTTGGTTTTTCTATCAGATGTCCTCGACATTAATGAAAAAACTGAATTGATTCAAAAGCAAGCGATGAAATCTCTGCACTGATGAACCTCACAGTGATCACCTACAGTCACTCATGCTTTACCTGAACATGATGCCCTCAGAGAAGGGGTCCAAACTGTCCACGAGCTCCAGCTCTGCATCACCACCCAGTGTAAGCATCTGGTAGTTTTCCTTCAGCTTGTTTGTGATCATGTTGAATCCAGTCATGAACTCATTGAGGCGCTGTTTGCGCAGGTCCTCGTAGCCACGTTTGAATTTGTCCCTCTCTGTAGTGATCTCATCAAGCTGGGCGACACGCTGCAAGTAAAGCTCCTCCTGAGAACACGAACACGCACAGGCAGATTGAAATTAAAATTAGGCTGTGAGCTCATTTCCGTTTTGATAAATTCTAAACAGAGCTGCTTAAAATAAAGCTATAAATGGACCAAGAGAGTACCACTAAACATGCTCCACACATTGGCTGAACCAGCATTAGATGAGCCAACAGATCCAGAAAAAACAAAATAAAACAGCAGCATTAACAACAGTCACTGAGTTTCAGCAACAGCGAGTTGTTAGGTAGCAGGCTGCCTGTCACGCCTGTGCATACCTTCTTCTTGTACTCTGCGATGGCCCCGAGGTTGGGCTTCATCTGAGCACACTGGGTCTCTAATGTGATCATCTTGTTGATAATGATGTTGGGATCTGAGATTTCATCGAGTTCAGCCGGAGTGAGCACAGGGAGTTCCTCTGCTGGCTTGTCCTCGATGGTATGAAGGGACAGCTTGGAGGCCTGTGGAATAGAAACAATAGTTTTTACTATTTTACACCATCATCCTGTAGAGCAAGCAAAGATACAAATCAAAGGGCCTCCGATATGATTAAAGCATTCACAATTAGAAAATGAAAAAAAAAGTATCAATATAAAACAAAGTGGGTCTGATATCACTGGACTATTTTTGTCCCTTGCTTTAAGTTTGCTGAGTAAATCTTCATTAATGTTATTGTTACAAGAATAAAACTATAGTAGTACATCAATTCACAGCAACACCTTTCCTCTCCCACCTCTTTCTGCCAGTGTTTGATTTTGTTATTTTGTTCGGTAATGGTGGCCTCGATCTGCTCGATGCGGAGCCGGACGCCTAGGGACTCCTCCTGCAGAGCGTGCTCCTGCTGCTGCAGCGCCTTTATCTCCTTCAGCACCCCCTGATACTGCTCCTGCACATCTGGCAATGCAGCCTGGAAGAAACAGAAAAAAAACAACTAACATCAGCCCTTCACACGTTAATTTTTTTTCTTACAAAGTGCAAGTGGGACAGCAAGGTTTTAAAACAACTTGCTAAAAATGTAAAATCCTTCTGAGAAAAAAATCAGTGCAAAAACAACAAAAAAAACAAACTTTTTTTTCTCCTGTGAAGAAATATAAAACAACCAAAGTGGATGAAAAGTTCCAACCTCAGCCTCCTGACAGTCTTTCATGATCTCTCCAGCCTCGTCTTCCAGTTTCTTCAGCTGTTCTGTGAGTTCAGCTATTGACTTCTCATTCTCCTCCAGCTCACGCTGCACACAAGCCACACTCTCCTCAAACTTCTTCAGGTTGCTACAGAGGAAACGGCAACAGTCAGAGTTGGTGACAGACATATGATATTAGAAAGATTACTGCTGATGATCAGTAGTGGATCAAAAACATTACAGAATGACTGCTGAAGAGCTAATATATTTGTCTACACAAGGATCTTACTCTAACCCAGGCCATCATCCTGCCTGCACAGGAGGCCAGCTGTAAATTGAGCAATGTTATAGCAGCAGCTTCATCCGTCTACACTGGATGCGTTAAGACAACTGAAGTAAAGGTCAGCGCCATTCTGGGAACAATTCAAAGCCTGAAACCCAACTGAACGTATGCGCATATAAATATCAAACAAATCAAATAAATCGTGAAGCACAAAAAAAAAAACAAAAAACACCCCACTGAGTACACAAACTGACACAACCAAAGTAATTTAACATTTTATCCACATCATCTCTCTCCTTATCAGTTTGTCGTCAACAGTATTTAAAAAAAACTTAATAAAAAAAATTGTGTATTAGTTATTGTCTGGTAATGAACTACTGTCAGACAAAACACTTGTCTGACAACTCGTTTTAAAAGGCAAATATATATCCCAGGTGTCCTACCTGACTATTCTTTTTGTGCCGTGAGGGTTAAAAAAAAAAAAAAAAAGTGATTTGACACGGCTCATAAATACTACTTGTTAAAACAACAGTAATCCCTGCACTGCTGCACTCTGAGGCCGTCATTCACATTAATATGGCGCATCTGTACAGTCAAATCTCATACTTTGCATATTACAGAGTGAAATTCAAGGTTAGAAACTTGGCTCGGATCTTAGAATAAAATCTACTGTGGTTAGATGCAGTGCTACCCAAACACAGATTCACTTAAACTGCAGTCACAACGGCTTCTAAAAGATTAAAATCTCTTTCATACACAAAGTGTGTAACTGTGGTGGTAGGTTCATTTGTCTAAGTAAATGTTTTTGGCTTTCAGACCTGCTTCCGTGTGTCAGTTCATAAGCTCCCACTTTGTTCGTAATCGACTCAACAGCTTGTCATGCCAGACAAACCACATCACACACAGACCAAGTGTGTGTTTTTGCTACAGCGCGCTGCCAGGCTGTCCTGCCTACATGATCAATCTTAATGTTCCAGCCACAGACACCAAAGACTAGACACCCAACACACTCACCACTGCCACAACACTGATTAATTCAAAGAAACCAATGACAACAACAGGAGACAGGAATTTAGTGACAGAAACCCAATGCTACTTACATGTGATATTAGTATTGAATAGTCGTAAGAAAAAAAGAACAAAGGAAAAACAAACAGTATAGGGTGTCCCCTCTTTAGATAAAAGGGAGAGATACCTGCTCTTTCATTACAAAATAAACTACTCTGAAAAAAAAAAAAAAAATCCCCCAGGTATTTAACCTGTTATGTACGAGCAGAGACTCATACACATGTCAGAATTATAAATAACAGGCTTCACAGTGATTTCACCAGTAGCCACTCGTCTACGATCAGTGGATGCACATGTAAATGAGTTTAAACAAGCATCATTTCCTCACCGGCCAGCTGTCTTTATGGCCACTTGGGCTTTGGTTATGGTAGAGGAGCACTCATCTAGCTCCTTGTTGATCTTGTCAAGCTTGTCCTGCTGAGCTTTAAGCTTGTGGCTGTTGATGTCTACAATCAGATTGTGGAGCCTTTTCACCTCATTTTCCACCTTCCCAGCCTTACTGGATGCTGCCTCGTAGTCTGATTGAACAAAAAGGAACAGCATATAGGAGAAGAAAAAACAAACAAACAAGACAAAGATATTTGTATTAATAGATTTAGAAGGATTCAAGAATTAAATTCATTTATACACAAAAGCTAATCTGGTTATTAAGAGCAATAATGTGACAAGATTTTTTTAAAACAAAATTACACTACCAAGTGATTATATATTTTTTTAAACATCTCAAGAGAGTGAACATTACCATATTTAAATGATTAACAACAGTATTTCTCTTTAGTGTTTACAGGACATTACCTTGTTTGAAGGCCTCCAGGCTCTTTTCCATCTGTTTCTGTTTGGCCTTGTCTGGGGCAGCTGCCAGCACATTGGCTTCAAGTTCCTTGATCTGAAGTTTCAAGTGAGTCTCTTGGTCAGCTAAACTCTGAGAGAAGCAAAGAAAAAGAAATAATTCAGATTTGCAAACACAAAAAATGTTTTAATCAGTCAAAACTGTCCTATTTGATGGCTTACTAATAGCAGGGGTTATTAATTAGATCAAAAACACAGCCAAATGAGTGTGAGAGGAGCAGAATGAATGAAAATTATGTACAGTCATGCTGTTGGTGTATTTTTCCAAGGTGTTCTTCATGTCCCGGAGCTGTGGCCGCAGGCGCTGGATGTTCTCTTCTAGCTGCAGCTTTCTCTCTTGGCATCCCTGCAGCTTCGACACTTTCTGATTTAGCTTGCTCTCCATGCGGTCAAGCTGCAGAAAACAAATGAAAATCATCATGTCCTATACACAAATGCCTAGCTGTGATTATGTTTTCTACTATCCATCACTCCTGGGAAATGTGTATAAAGTAAAATCTCATGGCAAGAATTATTATTTTAAAAGTTCACATCACTCATGTGGATTAAGGAATAGTTATTCACTCTGAAAGGAGACCTTTCAGAGTGAATAACTAAGAACTCCAAGCTCCTGTCTTGAAGTTTTGGTTTGCAATAAACACTAAACAGACAGTCCGACAGATACAGTAGTCTGGTGACTAAAAATGGACTCAAAGATAATGTTTCACTTTAATGACCAGTTAGTTCGAAACCAAGAGAGAGTTTCACACACTTTTAAATGTTTATTGAATTCTCACATTGCATTTTGTGGTGCCCATTATTATTGATACTTGTGCAACTAGTACTGAGAAGCTTAGGCACCATCTGCTCTCATAGTCCAGATGTATCTGTGGACCATTTGGTTGCAGAGGCAAAGATCATGTATGTGTATGCTATGTTCAATTAAAATACAAGTTGTATTAAACATTATAGCTTCAAACAACTTACCTCCACCTGGGAGACTTCAGTGCCAATAGAAGAGCCCATTCTGCCCTTCATGACTCTTCCTCCTCCAGTCATGGTTCCTGTGAAACATCGGAAAATTATTCAAGCTTTTTAAAAAATTTAACCAAATGATCTAATTGAGAGGGTCATAAGTATATATATTTTTTATTGCGAGCAAGATAGACAGAAAAGATAAATCACCCACCCGCCATCTCTATTATCTCTCCCTTCAGGGTGACCACTCTCCAGCGTTTGTCTTTTTGGTAGGCTATCCTTGTGGCCTGCTCCAAGTTTTGGGCCACCAGCGTGTCCCTCAGGGCAAAGTAGAAAGCTGGTCGCACACTGTCATCGTTCACTCGCACCATGTCAAAAAGACGAGGGCTGTCTTCTGGGGTGCGAATGGAAGCCATGCTCTTCTCCCATACTTTCATCTGTGCAAAGGAAGTTTAGATGAATGAGAAGGAGCAGCAAGATATGGAGGCCATCTGAAGGCACAATATTTCACAAAAAATATAACTAAAGTCGTTAAGACTTAAAAAAATTATATATTTCGCCTGACTGAAGTTCTTTAAATCCTTCATATTTACCTTGTCAAGACCAATGAAGGTAGCAACCCCAATGTTCTGTTCTTTTAGGAATGTGACGCATTTCTGAGCCGTGTCAATGGTATCAACTACAATGTTGTCTAGAGCACCACAGCTAGATGAAATGGCCACATCATACTTCTCATCTATGGCTCCCAGATCTCCCTACAGGCATAAATATATTTAGAATCATTAATCAATAGAAACAAGCGAAGGAAAGTTGTTCAGTTCTGCAATTTTTGTATTTTCTTTACCAATCGTCCATAGATGCCGGGGATTCTGCCACTTTTCTTCTGCTGCATGAGGGCATCCAGGACTTTTCCACGACTGCGGTTCGAGGACAGGGAGCTCTTGGCTTCATCTACTTTCTGCCTCAATTCCCTCACCACCTCCCTTGTCTCATTATCAGTCTTCATCAGCTGCTCCAACTCTTCCTCATCCTGCAGAGAAACAGAAGGCAAAAACTCAAAACACATGATGGCTGTAACACAAATTATCCACAAAATGTTATCTAACTGACAGTGCTGATGTTTGGTTCTACCTTCTTTAGCTCCCGTTCTTTTTCAGGTATTTTGACCTCCAGGTCTTTGATGGCGGCACGGCGCTCCCGCAGTGTGTCAGAGGTCGTCTGCAGTGTCTGCTTGGCTGTGTTGAGCTGTGTCAGAGCTGTGTTGTGGCGGCTAAGGTAGATGTCAAGCTCCGACTGAGCGAGGTCCATACGAGAACGGGTCTCATTTACAGCCTTGTTGAGCTCCATGAGCTCCTTTTCTTTTTTCTGGATTATACAAGAAGATTGTTTGTTTTAAAAACAAAGTTTCAGTGAGCACACAACAAAAACCATGATGTATACAGATACCTCTTTGTCCTGCTGCAAGCCGCTGGTCTCTTCCTTCAAACTCTCCATCACATCTTTAAGTTTTTCTTCTTCTTTCACCTTCTGCTGCTCCAGTTCTTCTTTGCGAGCTGTTGCCTCAGAGATGGCCTTTTCACTGCTGGCTGGTATACCACGCACTTCCTCCAGCTGAAAGATGAGCCAGACAGGACAATGTGCAAAAGCATATGAGATGTGTCCAACTCCAAAATCTAAGCAACAGTTGCTAGATTCCCTCCCTCCAGGTTAACTTGACAATATCAGTAGTAAACACTTCTACCACCCACCGAGAAACAGCCGTTTACTTCCTAAATTAGAAAAGATGAAACAAGAGAAGAGTGTGGGAGATAGGAGGTGCAAGTTTGTTGTTTTGGGTTTTTTGACAGCGACAGTTACAAAGAAACTGTGCTACGCATCCAGACACAGGCCAAAACACACAACTGTAATCAACTATAAACACATATTCAGGACTGAGCAAGCTCTGGTTAAGACTGGCACAACAATCTGCCACTTGGCAGGGCTGAAACAAGCCAAGGAGTGGTGCGTGTGTATAGTCTATGTTTTGTAGGGTTAACTGCGGGTGAAATGTGAATGTAGCTGCTGGGAGCGTTACACAAGCCAGGCCATAGTTGACTACCATACAGCAGAACACTGCTCCCCAGAGGTCTGCCTGCCTCTGCCCAGCTCCCCCTCTGACCAAGATGTTTCCAGAGCACAGCCATTGTAGGTGGAGCAGATTGGCTTTTAGAGCAGAGGGAAATGAGAATATTCTGACAGTCATGAGACAACTCTTGGTTACCATACTGTTAAAAAAAACAAAAAACTCTTAAGTTCATGTTTAAGCGACAAAAAAAACGTGAGTCTAAGAGACAGGACGACCGAGAACTGTGAAACAGAGCACACACACTATCAACTTGTGCTACTTCGCAGCCCCCTAGTGGCTACTTTAAGACAGCTAGCCCTTCCGGACTCATATAGGGCTTTATTTTTTTCCTGTGAATAATGTCAGTTAATTTATAAAAATACAGAAACTTGACTTTACCCAAAGAAAGAAGACACACACACACACACACACACACACATATATATATATATATATGTAAAATTAAAGCAAAGCCCCTATACACACACTTGGATACAAAATTATCTTTCAGTATCATATGGCATTTGTGCTTCAGACTAAAAATGTGTCAGAAACATTCAAACACTTGTGTACTAAGTTTCAATATAGAAAGCTTTGCTTTGTGTTGCTATGGCTGTCATACATCCTCTGCCAGCAGTCAGACCTCACTTTGTTCTGTTCACACAAATATGTATCATCCTTAAAAGATGACAGAAAAAAAAAAAAAAACAAAAAACCATAAAAATAAAAGAAATTATTAAAATATACAAACTAAGGCTCGTTTTATATTTTGCATTTAGTATGATTGGTAATCACTCTGTAAGCCCAAGTTTAAAACAACACTGCTGACAACTGTAAAACATGAAGCCGTGTGTACTCGGTGGAAAACTTCTCAGCCTACAAATGATTTTAGTAAATGAAGGACTCAACAAAAATGCTCAAATGTAGTTTCTGTCATATATTTATTTTAAGTAAGTTGCTGTAAAAGGGTTACAAACATTTTTTTCCTCTCTCTGCTTCAAAACTGTAGCCATGGTGTTTATTGACAAGCAAAAGAAAATTTATTTTTAGTGCCCACGTTTCTGTCTTGGCCTTCATACAAATTAAATACAGTAACTCATAGGGTAACCATGCCACTGGTTACTTTGTGTAACCTTGTATTTGCAGATGGATTTGTATGCTAAATATCAATTAAATAAAAAAAAGGGACAAAACTACACCATACTGACAGATTGTGTGTCTGTACCTCTGAATCACATGTGAATGCCCACTGTGATTATCAGAGTGGCTCTAATTACTCTGAAACAATTGTGTAAAAGTTGTCTGCAATTTAAAGTCCAACACACCTTTTCTTTGTCCTTCTCCAGCTGCTTCTGCAGTTTCTTGTTCTTGCTCTTTGAGTGTTTAATCTTCTCACGCACTTCAACATCCTGCAAATCCAGCTGGGTGAACTTCTCCTTCTGGGTTTCAATGTACTTGTTGAGCTTATTTTGTTTCCTGGTGGAGGAATAGCTTTTTTACTGGGTACATTCAAGTCCATCTACTGAAATATTATATAAACTGAAAAAATATACAAAATACATACATACATATACATGCGCTTAATGTATGTATGTATGTATGTATATATATAAAAAATACAGTATACTTATTATTAATGTTCTTCCAGTTTTCAGTTCCTGCACATTATTTTAGAGATGATTTGTCAGTTTAAAAATTATCTATGGTCACCAACCCAAAAATTATGAGAATTATTGCATATATAAATTTCAAGCACATACGCTTCTTTGTGTAAACATTTTTGTGTGTGTAAATAAATTAGACCCATGTTTGTTACACTTGATACACCTTCCAGATAAGAGATGCTTAAGCAACCAAGAAAAATAAATAAATAAAACAAACAAATACAAAATGTTACTAAGTCATAAAAAAAACTGAGTAATGTGGTAAAAGTTACATTGGTTAACAGAAGGAGAAGAAATGCAAATGCCTCACTTTTCCACATTTTTGAGTTCTTGGTTCATTTTCTCCATCTCTTCTGATAACCTGGCATTTTTCTCAGTGAGCTCCTTTGTGTCCTCCGAGATCTTTTGCTTTTCCTGCTCTTTATCAACCACACGTTTCTGCAGATCATGACTAATGACAAAGAGAAAACAGAGAGAGGGAGAAGGAAAAAAGAGGGGAAAAAAGTCTGATAAAACTTTATCATTTACATGGAAAGCAAAAGACTATGATGTTTGACAGCAGAGAAGCATGCCCAGCTGTTCTTTTGAGTATTTGAAATGGAGAAGTCTTTTCTGTACAACTGCTGGGTCTGCATTTTTATATTATTGATGAAATTTTTCCATGTACAAAACAGAGGTGGTATTGGTGTACTCACATGTAATACTGACAGAGCTGACACTTGCGTTTGAAGATGTCATTTTCCAGGGTGAGGAACTCCACAGCTTTATTCTTTTCTCCCTCCAAAGCATTCTTCTCTTTTTCCACCATCTTTACTCTGTTTAGCTTAGGTAAACAAAATAACAGTATTTTATGTCTGGTGATAAAACTTAGTTACTTGCATAGTATAAAAAAATCAAAAATCAAATAACAACTTTAAGAAAAAAAAAGATAAAAAGCTTGTCAACATGGTAACAGTACAATCAACAAAAAATAATTTTCAATAAAACCCAATTATTAAATCTACTGTATGCTTCATAGTTTCCTGTCAGTGCATCATTTTCATCTCAGACATGTGTACTGAAAGTACCCCAAAACATACACACACATAAGAAAGCCTCATGAGACTACTGAATAGATGCTCAACAATTCTAGTCCATACACAGGAAGGAAAGTTGGTTAGCTAAACTGTGTGAACAGACAGTATTTGAGTTGTCACCTTCTCTCCCCTCTGCTCATTGAGTAGCTCAATGCGGCGAGCCAGAGTTTGGATGGGTTCCTTGAGACGGCAGGAGCCAATAATGTCCTCCAGGTACTCCAGCATGCCCTCATCATGCTCTGTCTGACCTTTAGGCTTCATCATGGCAATCTGCTCCACCTCACCCTAGGCAAAGTCCACAACAGCACATTGGCAAAAATACTGCTTGCACCCATTCACAGAAAGCCAAAATGAAAATGGGTAATAATAATTTGTAAAAAAATAAAAAAAAAATCTTATTTTTAAATTATCCACATGTTTAACCATTAGGGTGTGGCCAGCTGAACTTATGTCTCTAAACTTGACTTAACACTAGTTTGCCACACACACACACACACACACACACACACACACACACACACACACACACACACACACACACACACACACACACACACACACACACACACACACACAAATCCTGTGCAAAATAATAATAATAATTTTTTAAGTTACAAATCATGAGTATTTTTTTTTACTACCTTTACTCAAAGAAGCTGAAAACAAAGTGTAATTAAAATTCAACTACTTAACAACTGACTAAAAAATAATAATAATAAAAACAGATGAAATCTGTTAAATGATTAATTTCTGTAATCACATGCTTAACACGCTTCAGAAATACTAGTGCTAAAATAAAAACATTGCCTCACAGCAATCACCGCACATTAAAAGATGCTAAATTTATCATATCCAAATTTAAGGTGGTTGAAAAACAAATGCTGGTGTAAACATGCAAATTCTGATTTCGGGTAACTACACCAGTTACATTTTCACATTACTGTACATGTACTACTTGGCCCAAAGTTAGGGACAACTCTACAGTATAATTATATTTGTCAGAACATGTGTTCATTTTTATTTATTTATCTTAAATAGGCTGGCTAGAAAAATATTGCCAGGTAAGAAATTTCAAGTCAAACAAAAAATAGATCTAGTTGTAGTAAAAACAAACCAAGTCTCAAATTGGGCTTTTATTTATGTCTAGGGTGGGAAAAAAAGCAGCTCATATATTACTTTTTATGTATGAAAGAAAGGAGAAGCCAGTTAGAGGTAGGAGGGGGAAATCCCACGTCATCCTCTGCTCTGACCAGTGCACAAAATAGACAGCTTTCCCTTTGCCAGAGGCCTGGAAAAGTGACCTTGGAAAACAAACTCAAGCCTCTTCCCATAGTCATGCAGCCATATCACTGACAAGAGACATAGGAGTGTAGAAATGGACATGCACACATAAATACAAAAATATCGAGCAGAGCAGGTTTAAGTGTTCACCTGAAACTATCCCATTAAAAAAAAAAAAAAAACTTAATGGATAAATAAAACTGCGAAAACAATTTTTTTTATCAGCTATTCTGCTTTACTCAGTTGTAATCCTACATGTCTCTGAGTTCATCAGTAACAACAGGCAATAAGAAGAAGAAGAAGAGAAGTAGAAGTATAACAAGTGAAATGATTTAAAAGTCAGAGCAACACAGAGCTAAATAAAATATAAATAAAAACGTAAAATTATGCAAATAAAATAAAAAAATATTCAGGACTGCATTCCATTCACAGTTGAGGTAAATTGAAATAAATACATTAAAAAAACTAAACAAACAACATGTTGAACCAATAATAAAGCCATGGTAATGAAGGGTGTTTGATCCAGCCACACTGAAGCAGCACTGCTAATATTGGGGTTGGGGTCTATTCTCACACGCCAATATTTACGTGCTGCTAAAGCGTGGCAGGTACATGGGAAAGGGAGGGCGGGGGCTAACCTGTCCCCACTGGTGGGTCAGCCTCAAAGATTCCCCCCACAAGAAAATCTTAGTGACTTATCCAACTACAGCCACTCACATGCCGGTCCAAGTGTGGATAAAACTGTATCTTTTCCTTAAAATCCTAAAGCAGCAAATTATGGTTCGCACCTTTTCCACATTGTTTCAAACCATGATGCGCTGCTATAGTAGTCTAAGGGCTGGCAGAGGGCACATCTATTTTCCAAATCCAGTGCAACAGGTTATTCCCAAAGACAGTCATGGTTTAAGTTATATGAAACACTTTGACTCAAAGTGGACTAAGACATGGGTAGAGAACAGAGAGCAGGAAATCTTACAAAATGGGATGGTCACAGCAGGGGGAAAAAACTAAACTAAAACAAAAAGCAAAGCTAGAACTGGAAGAGGAAATTGCATAAAAAGTTACCTGTAAGATCAGAAATCTGTTGTGGTCTAGGTCAATACCATGGCTTCGCAGTAAGGCACCCACTTCTTTGAATGTGGCTTTCTTGCCATTGATATGGTAGGCTGAGGAATTGTCTTTGTTGGCAGTCCTGGAAACGTAGAACTTGCTGTTGGGGATGACTTCGTAGTCATCTCCTTGCTGATGGGGGAGGGGCAGAGGACAGAGAGCAGCTTAGAAGAGCAGTTAAGAAGAAATTCAAACAGCTCCACACAGCAAATTGCAATATTTATAACATTTATAACACTAACAAATACATTAGGATGGCTAGGGCAAAAAACACACTACATTAAAAACAAAATAAGAAAAAATGGCTTCTTTAAAAAGTATATAAAGCTGGCCAGAGTAACATGCAAATACACCCTATACATACTGGAGTGTATAGAGTGCAACATATGAAGAGAATTAAAACAGTTTATTAGATAAAATAATGACAGTGAAAATACAGCATAAAACAGAAAATTAAGTACTTTTAGAAGAAAGTTTAAAACTTTTTGTTTATATTACTTCTGATTTTTTGTTTTTGTTTTAGATATTAGTTTAAAGCTGATATAGCACACAAAATTTGACCATCAGTTTAAAAACTTGATTTAAATTTACTTGGAGCTAATGAAGCAAAGAGAAAGGCTCAGACACATTTATGAGTACACAAGGCAAAACACTTTCTCACACCCCCTGTGGCAGATCAAATATAGAAACGTGTTTAATTCTTTGAACTACAGTTCAGTCGTTTTTCAGTGTAATCTGTCATCTTATCCACCCTACTGAAGTTCTCTCTCAATACAAAAGCCACTTTTTTTTTTAACTTTTCACAGTACAGTTAAATGAGTAGAGGCTAATTACTGAACTGCAATTAAAAAAAAAATATTTAAAAATAGAGGGATCAACTCTAGCACAATATGAACTGACTATGGCATGTGTGGGTGTTAGCTGTAACTTTCATGACTGATTTGAGTCTTTGTTTAGTCACTGTTGTGATCACTATGCAGCAATATTATACAGAGAACAGAAAAAAAAAATTTTTTTAATTCAACAAACACCACTATCCTTCAGAAAATATTTCTTCTCATCTTTCTGCATTTGGGCTACCCATTTATTAATTCAGAGTGAGTGCAGCATGCATATGTGTGACAGAGAGATAGATATATATACACATATATACCTTATCAATAATCTTTTGAAAGTGCACCTCCACAGTACAGCTTTGCACATCTTTGTGTTGATCAGAGCTGTGAATCAGCACTGAGAGCTTTTTCGACCTGATCTTTTGAGCTCTGTATCCAAACACAAAGAGCATTGAGTCTATCACATTGGACTTCCCACTTCCATTTGGACCAATGATGCAGGAAAAGCGCTAAGAAAAAGGTAGAGAAAATAGAAAAAAATAAAATAAAATCAATAATGTAAAAACAGAGTATATCCTGTAGAGTTAAACAGTAACATTTTATTTCAGCAAGACTGCAAATTTGAATGTATTCCATGGGAGTGTAGTTAAAGTTGTTTTTAACATAGATAAATTATTTAGTAACAAAGAAACAGAAAAAGGTATGAAGAGAAAGTTTACAGAAACTCATAATTTTCAAGAGAAGTTAGCACCCCACTAGATCACTACCTCTTGTGAGATACTCACTAAATCAAAATGGAGTCTGACTTTTTCCACTTTGATTTTATTTAAGGCAATGATGCTAAAATATAGCAGAATAAATTATTCTGTGACATGTTCTCTTTTCTACTACACGAGGCAAAAATCTATGGGTTTTTATCATATGAAATTAAACGGGGGAAAAATAAATTAAGAGTGGGATACACAACAAGTGATGTTAAATCTGTGACACATCAGAAGAGTATTTCCCAGGCAGGGATTACATGTGTAACCATGTTTGGTCGTACCTTGTGAAAAGGCCCCAGAATCTGCTCGCCTGCATATGATTTAAAGTTTCGATTAACTAAATGTGTTATCATCAGGCGAGGGGCGCCCGGTTCATTGGTCATTGCTGGGGGCGGAGGTGGAGGGATGCTACCGACAATCTCCTCCAAACTTCTATTATCAACGGTCTCGGTACCTTCCCCGTGAGACGAATCTGTGGCACACAAAAAGTACAACTTTTATTCTTCTGTTCGAGTCGTTTCGGGGGGGAGACAGTTGTACGTGGGGGAGGGGTAGAGAAGCATACTCGCGCACGCACGCACACACACAAAAAAACAAACAAACAAAACACACGCACCAAGTTACAAGAGCAGTCAAAGTACGACTCCAGAAAGAAAAGTTGACAGGCGTTATTTTCCTTTGTTCTGCAAACAAGAGCCAACCCCAAAAAAGAAAGAGACCATGGCCGCTTATGAACGAACCCACATTATAATCCAAACGCTCTCCACCAGAAGCGTTTGTACGTACTCAGATGCGCCACATTGTCGATGACAAATAACTAAAGTGGAAATCTCAGCCATCAGCGTCACATTTTCACTCATGCCTGTCTGTGCTCAAACAGAAACAGGAAAACTGGTGTTTTGTGATAATAATGTGTAACGCAGAAACGATTATGTTGCCATCACACAAAGCCACAACGACCTGTCCAAAATCTATTGTGCTCACATAAGCATAAACAAGCCAAGATGTCGATGTTTGTCAATTAAAACCTCGCAGCCAGACACTCAGTGAAGCATTTCAACATATTCTACAAAATACAGACATCACCCACTGCTTATGTGCATCTTATAGGGTTCGCATACAAATCAGTAAATATCAAGCTTACAAGAATTAAGTCAAACACCGCTCTGATCTACTACACAAAGCACCTCGTTTTTCGAAATAAATTACCTCGTCTGCTGAGAAGATTCGGGGAAGAAGTACACTCGGCGTTATCAAAATCATCTCCAAAATCATTTTATTGATGACTGGCACTTTAGTCAAAAATATATCAGCCATTCTAACTCCGTGTTGTTTAAGCAAGAAGAGGGGAAAAAAAGCTTTACAGCTGTGCCAATTGGCCCCTACCAATACAGCAATACACGCAAAGGCTTTGACTGAACAACTTATTTAGATTCACAGACACCAAAACACCCTTTGTTACTTGCCAGTTTTCGGCGGTGCCTCCTCTTGGCCATTGGAGTTAGTTTCTTGAGGGGGTACATCTAGCTCGTCTTCGGAGTCAGACTGCGACCCTTTCCCTCTGGGCTTGGCGGAGGCAGTTGAGCTCTTTGCAGTTTTAGATGGCATGACTTGAAATCTGAAGGGGTCATTGGTAAAAAGGGAATATCCATGAGTGGTTTTTGTGCCTGTCAATCTCTCAACTCCACTTTTAGTCGGTTACACGCAGCTTCTCTGTCAGCCTCTAATCATTACCACAGTCAGATCCTATTGACGCCCAGCTAACTGTTAATCGGTATATTTTGCATATCTTAACATTGCTGTTACAACAATGAGTCCAGCATAACACGAGTTACTCCTGCTGAAAACGTTAAAATGAGATAGCACCAATCCGATGACTGCACAGAATCATAATCTATTTCAAGTTTAAAATTAAGCATCATTTGTCTTTAAAATAATCTATATTAAAATAATAATCCCATCCTTTCACAGAACAATTCTAGTAGGCATCTATATCACGCATTTTATTTTGCCTCGCGAACCTAGGCGGTAAATAACGCAGCAAAAATAAGGTTAACGTCACAGCAAGTGAAAAACGACCCAGTTAATGTGCAAATAGCCTAATTATTTTCCTCCTTAGCTCTCTTAGCCTAGCCTGCGTTACACAGCCGCTGCTAATGTGGCTGAAGTTGGTGGTGAAGACCCAACGTCCTAAATTGATCGAGGTTTCAAACCGACACTAATATTAACTTTCATCCCCACAACGTTTTTGTTGGGGCGGAGGCGTAGACGAGCCAACCTAACTCGCTAGGTAATTGGTACGCACATTCAAACAACTAATGCAACGTTACCCGTGTTAGCATAACGTTATAATTACATTCACGTTTGCCAAATAAGTAACTTGGCAATGGCAGCGCAAACTCTGCCACGCTGTTTTTACTTAACTTACCGTTAAGTTAGCTGTACTACTACTACTTCTGCTAAGTGATTGGCTAACTATATGAAATGAAATATCGCTGCGACGCTAAAGCTAACATAATGGCTAACTTAAACTATAAAAGGTATGAGTTGCTGGGCTCTATAAAGTCAAATGCAGTGTCGACATAAACGTAACGCAAATCCTATCCAACGTCAACGTGTTATCTGATATGAAAGAAGTTGTTAACCCTAGTATTAAAGTTAAACGAGTAAATACATTAGAGCCCGCCGGTTATGAGCTATTTGCAATGCGAGCATTACTTCAACGAGTCGGAAATGTCGCTATTAGGAGTGTCACTGTGGGTTTAATATAAGTTAAGACGAAACGTGATTAGGTCTCATTATTTCTCTTAGAATGTGTAATAATGGTCTGCTCGCTTTCAATCAGAAGCTAACGTTAAACCTTAGTTTAACTTGCCGTTACTGTTAAGTCCCTCTTCAAACGTAATACATTTCAGCAAGTAGACGGAACCCAGTCGTTACTTTCCGCTAAAATACTTCCATGTACCTTCCACAGTATAACCACGATCTGTCAAGAGTCTTCCTTTCAGACCACAGTCGCTATTACGCAAAAAATAATCGTCAATCCAAAGTTTGGCAAATATAATCCAAAAAATTTACTCCCGTGTCACTCCGACTCGCTCTCCTTAGTTGACAACTCAAACTTGTAAATGGCGCCTAAACCTCGCTGTCGAACCAAATTCGTTACAAACTGACGCAAGGCACCATGGAACGTTCAAAGGGCGGGGGTGGGGGGACGAAATTCAAAAAAGGGGACGAAGCCAACTCCGTCTCACTCCAAACAAACCGCATTCACATGACTATAAAGAACAAACGAAAAGGAATAAAAGCCATGCAATGCTTTTACAGCAAATTGTTCATATTATTCAAGTTTATTCTCATAAAATGCCTAATGTTGTTCCTACGTCTTCAAACGGTTGTCTGTAGTACGATAAAGGACCTGCTCCGAGCAATAGTTTATACTTGAGGGAATATAGCTCGATAGATCAACTGTTAGTGTTGGTTGATCCCGATTCTAACGACTTGCATAAATACATTTATTTAACAGATGTCGTTTTTGAACTTAGAAATATTTCGAAATTTCCGTTGTCAAGGAAGTGGAGATGCAACTCTCGCGATAATTAGTTTTTCAAGCTGTTTTTGACCCAGATTAAATGGCTACCAAAATGCAGGTTTTATACGTTGGGGGCATAAATTGCTGATTGGTGATAGATAAGACTTTTGCGTATTCTAATAGCGCTTCATAGTAGAGTAAATTACACGCACGCTTTGCTGACACTCGCTTAGCACACTCGGCAACGAGAAAACGATGTCCATTTTAAACAAGAGAACAAGTTAACGTTAGCATTCAAGTCACAGACGAGACTCAGGGGATAACTGAGGACTTCCGTTAGCAACAGTAGCAGGTACCGTAGCAACAGCGGACGCTTGTTTGTTTCATCGTTACAGCTAACGGAGAATGCAAACGGCTGCTTTACATAGTTTACGGGTAAGCTGTATACACCCATGCTTCAGGTCTTCTGTACTATTATTTTTTGTGTTGGTTTGACAACAGTGTTATATAGAGAGCTTTAAAATAACAGTTACGTTACTGTCTCTGACATTTTTCTGTTCGTTTAGTGATCAACAGAACGAACATCCACCATGAGACTGAAAACGTCGCTCCTAAAGGAATCCAAACATATCCTTTTTGTAGTTATGGAACACATGTAATTCTGTGACACAGTTCCAAAACTTTTAATCATAATTATTAGTGGTGCTATTTGAGGCAGTGGTAATATTTCCCATCATTGTGTTGCTCTAGCCTCTGTCCATTTTTCAGAACACCCAATTTATTGCAGAGGTTACCACAAAAAGGGTTTTTGAATCAGTTCATTACTATAACTCCTTAACAGCTGATCACATAAAGAACTTGTGAGCTGCGTTGGCTGGACCACAGCAGATGAGCTGTACTCGTGCAGTGAGGATCATCAGATTCTCAAGTGGAACCTGCTGACCAGTGAGACCAGTCTGATTGTCAAACTGCCAGAGGAAATTTACCCTACTGACCTACACTGGTTCCCCAAAACTGTTGGTGTGAAGAAACAGGCCCAGGCTGAAATCTTTGTCCTTACCAGCACTGATGGCAAGTCTTTGTATTCTCTAAAATTTGACCAGAATGCTAAAGGGTTTATTTCAGAGTTCACTCATAAAATCAGTGGGAGTGGCTGTTTTTAGTCATATCTATGCATTTATTAGTTAAAGACATTCTCATGAAATAAATAAATAAAATTAAGTAACAGAATTGGCTATCTACAGGATGGCAATGTCTTCCTTAATTTTTGATATTTATTTTAGAAGACATAGGGACAATTCAAGAGTTGTTATTTATATTTAAGGGAAATAATCTCTACCAATTTGATACTTGTAGGATCCAGTAGAGTCCATCTGAATTCTTCTTTTTATGAAGCTTTCAGTATAAATCTAAAACTCTAAAACTCAATTTTTGTTTTGTAGGTTTCTAATACCGACCCTTGGTGACACAATTTGTGTGACATGAATCTGCCGTACATGTCTCTTCTTTGGCCTGTGTTAGATACAACACACAGAATATGGATGTACTGTTATGGCAAGGCAATGTGTGGTCACAACACTAATGGCAGTGTAGGGTTGCATAAACACACCCACAAACTGAAGCAGCAATTTTCTCTGGCAGACCAGAGACTAGTGAAAAGTGTTACGATCCATTTTGCAACTTTCCTCTGCTTCTTGTCTTGTTACGGTTAAAAATATTAGTATTGCAAAAGTTATTGGTTCTGCAATGGGAATAGAAACAGAGTTTTATTCATTTATTTTGACTTCACTGTTAACTTAAACACTGAAAGTTTTCTTTTGCTCCAGATTAAAGTTTTTAATCTGGATTCTTTGTTGGATTTCCTATTAGATTGTATAATATACTTGAAGAGAAAACAGTCCACCTGGGTTTTATTAGTTTTGAAGACTTGACATCTTTGGGATTTCCTAACCTTTTTTGATTAGTTGGCCTTCTTTCCCTTTTACAAGTTTATTTATGATTTTTTTTTTAATTTTTAAATTAAATTTTTTTAAAAATGTATGATGCTAAGCAGTTTTAGCGTTTTAAATTACAAGCACACATGGTATTGGAGTTTGTATAATATTTCATTCCTATTAAAAATATTTATATATATTATATTTTTTTATAAGAAATCTGAAAATGAGGCTTTCCAGATAACAGGCAAACAAACAATTAAGCATTTCCAATGTAGAATGTGGCTTTCTAGTGTGCTTTTCATTTAAGAGAGTCATTCAGCTGTACATGCCTGTTAAACTGACTACCTGCTGGATCAGTTACATCTACTTTTGTTGGGATGTCCAAATTTAGAAATGAGAGAGCACTGCAGCATGCTGATTTGCAGTTTTAGGTCACCAGAAATTACATAGAACATTCAGAATTTTTAATATGCACTGCCACAAAGTATATGGTAGGCTACCGTCTTCAATAACTCTCCATGGCTGATCACCCTTTCGTGTCTACCGCATAGAAAATTGCCCTAATTCACCCGACAGAAGCCTTTTTAGTTTCACTCATTTGCTTCAAACCAGAAGTTTGTAATTTACTTGACTGTAGAGAATATAAATTTGTCTGTATTTGTGTGTTAGGAGATGGATTGGTAGTTATTGTGTGTTTTGATTAAAATACGTATTTATTTATATATTTTTACTATTTTGTCTTGGCCAGTAAAACTTGTTTTCCGTTACACAGTAACTAGAATTCCACAGATTTATGAAACTTTACTGAGTGAATTACAACGCTCAGTTCTGTATTTGAGTTATAAACAACTGAAAACGCCTACATCACCCCAGGCCTAGTGTGTGGAATGGCTTTACACCATCTATGTGGGGTTTTTTTTTTTGTAAATTTGTTGCAGGAAAGTTCCACTTAACCTCAAAGATGGGTCGCATTGAGAAGAGTGTTGAGGCGCACAAAGGAGCTGTTTTGGCTGGAAGATGGAACTATGACGGGACTGCTCTTATCACTGGTAAAGATGACTAGGACTCATTTCCTCTGTTATCTGACAACTACTCATCTAATCAGCCTTTTTTCTTTTTAAATCAAAATGAGAATCTAATCAAGATGTCTTTATGGCCTATTCTGGTTGTTTTTCTAATTAGCTGGAGAAGATGGGCAGATTAAAATCTGGTCAAAAAGTGGGATGCTACGCTCGACACTAGCCAGCCAAGGTAAGGCTTAAAACCTTAATTTCACTGAAGCAGAACTGCAAATGTGTATCTAGTGCATGTGTAAAACTGCATACTTTTCATTTATTATTTAAGCGCTAACATGTTAATTAGCAAAGCAAAACGCAGATCAAACTGATCAGGAAAACAGTTGCATCTGTAAAATTTTTATAGTTAACAAAATGCCCAACTTTTCCTGATGTCTGAATTGGTCCGGCCTCACTTGAAAAAAGACTTTAATCTCAATCAGATTTTTACCTGAATAACAGATGATAATTAATAAAATTATTTGCATCTGGGAAAAATCTGATTTGTTGGAGGGAAAAAAGCAACGCTATACAGTTAGTTCCATATGGTTTTGGGCAATGGCACTTTTCTTTTTGCCATTTTGGCTCCATGCACCATCACAGTGGATTCCAAATCAATCAATAAACTTGTGAATGTGTTTAGAGAGCATGAACATTACTAAATGCTGTTTCTTCCCTTGAGATACACTGCAGACCTTTAGTACTGCCATCTTCAGTCCTGCTTGTTTTTGGGTCACTCTGTGGGTCAAACATGCTCTGTTGAGTTTAGATCAGGTGACAAACTTGGCCACTGAAGAATATCCTGTTTCGTTGCCTTTAGAAACTCTTGGGTACTGTTTGCAGTATGTTTCAGGTCATTTTCCCTTTGCACTGCAAAGTGCTGTCTAATTTGTTTTGGGTAATTTTGTTTTATCTGAGCAGACACTACATCCCTGCACACTTAACACCTCATTGTGGTACTTCTATCAGCAGTCGCATGATCTATAAAGACTAGAGACACAATTGCACTACCAGCCATACATGCCAATGCCATAACACTGCCTCCACCATGTTTGACATAATATGGTACATTTTGGATCATAAGCTGTTTCTCTCCTTCTCTGTACTTGACTAGGTCCATCAGCCTGGTAAACGTTGATTTTGGTTTCATCTGTCCAAAGAATATTTCACAGAACTTTGTTTAGATGTTTTCTAGCAGTCTTATTTAGGCTTCTTGTTTTTGAGTGTAACCAGTGGTTTAAACTTTGTTGTAAACTCTCTGTATTTACATTTATAAAAAACTTCTCGTGATTTTAGACCTTGACAATGATACGGCAAAATTTTTGAGAGTATTGTTGACTTGAAGTTGAACTTATTGTGAAGGACAAGGTTTTTTGTTTATTTGCTTTTGTAACAAATGAAAGAATTTGCAATCTTTTCCTTTAGTTGTGTTCTGTAGTCTTTCAGCTGACCAGTGCATTACTTTTTTAAACTTTTTTTTAAGAAAATAACAGATTGTTGATTTGTCCAGTATTAAATTTTTGCTATTTGTCGAATAGATTTATTTAGATTTTTCAGTTCAATGATGGCCTCCCTCACATCCATCAACAGCTCTGTGGCCCTTACATGAAGGGTTCAAGTGAGTCCACCTCACTTGAGGTGAGGTGCA